AAAGATTGGCCTTGATTGAATAAAATTAAAAATTAAGAAACGTGAATCGAATATCGTAATAGAGAATAATTTTCTAAAGATGAGAATAATAATTTTTGGATTATTGTCATTTAATGTGGATTTTCAACTACAGCAAAAAAGTAATGATTTCCATAAATTACTAAATTACTAAACCTCTTAGATTTTTGATGCTCCAGTTTTTGTCTTACATTTCAAGAAGTAAAATTTTTATTTTGCACTATTTATTCAATAGCAATAGGCCAAATGAATAGCGCCTCGAATGTAACAAGAAATGTCACATGAAAATTTATTTGGCATAAGTATTCATGTTGTGCATAGATAAGATTTCACCTTGAAGTGTACTTACATTTACTAGGTTATGCGGCACCTACTGTCTCATTAGAGATTTTATCATCTATTTAGAATTGATTTTGTTTTTTTGTTTTTTTTTTGTTTTGGTTTTTTTTTTTTTTACTATATTTAATGTTGCCAAACATAATACATAAACACAAAGCGCACCACACCTATTCCGGTCTCTAATGCGCGACTCTTCTATTGAACGTTAAAAGTAGCGTGATAATAACATTTTTCAAATTGACTTCATGCGGAAATTATAAAGTAACTTTGGTTTTTCACTATATTTATCTTCTTCAATCTTTATATTACATTATTATTTAAATATTTACTTTCAGCTTCAATAATATATATATATATATATATATTAATACTGAAATTAGAAATGATGAAAAATTATAATATAAGCGAAAACGTGAAAGTGGTCAGTATTTATATTAAATATTAACAATTAATAATAAAATTAATTGAAAAATGTAGTCTGAATAATATTTATTTATATAAATTCTAAAGGTTATTGTTGAATATTCACATTGACAAAATTAATTGAATATCATTTGTATAAGTTAGATAAATTTGCATGCTTCAATGTAATTTCTTAGATTATTTGAAAAGGCGTAAAAGTTGTAAGGGTGATTCGTTTATCTTTTCAAGTAATCAATATTCAAAATTCGAGATCATGATAGTTTAGAGTGGAACATTTGAGTGATATAGTTTTGGGCCTTGAACCGAATAAATATTTCAAATTTTTAATTTAGGTAGTTCACAAATATTTGTATATGAGATGACTGATAAAGATTTTTTCAATCGAAAATATCGTTATTTATCTTTGATTGATTTAATTTCACATTTACACTAAGAAACCATTAAATTATAAAAATAAACAACTGAAATATTAAAAATAGAAATATGATATAATAGTTGATTTAAAATTATAATAAATTTTTACATTTACGATGATATTTAACTAAGAATATATCATCACAATTGCATAAATATAATGAAGATATTATATTTCATTACTATAATAATACAAGTTTTATGACTAAATAATATCATTTTATACAAGTGAATGATGAAGCAATTATCTTATATGGAAACAATTTCAATATTTATCTTTAGTTGTAAATAGGGAGTTTATAAAGCATTTAAAAATAAACTTATATAATGATTAATATTTAATATTTATTCTTTTAGTGTTGATATTTATTAATATTTAACATTTAGTCGTTTAAATATATATATATATATATATATATTTAATATATAGTATATTATATAAAGTGACAATTGTTATATGAAGTATTTATTAATTAACTTTTTTTCTTCATAATAAATTCCTGTATATATATATATATATATATATATATATATATTTTTTTTTTTTTTGTTCAATATATTAGATATTAAATTTAATAATTAATATAAGAACAGCATATTTGCAATTTTATTAGATCAAATAAATTTTGAATATTATAAATGAAGATTTAAATTATATAATTAATATATTATTAGAACTATTAATCCACATAATTCGATTACATTACACATAATTAATTAAAATTTCGAAGTTTTATTTTAAGTATTTTGAATTCTTAATTGGTCTATATTATAAGTGAAATTTTTTAACTCTACTATTTTAAAAATAAATTTCTATCGAATTGACGAAAAATTTTATAATTTCATGTAGCATACAACAAAGCATCACAAGATATCGATTAAAATGATCGAAAAAATGATGTAGTTTTTCGCAATATTTCCTTCATTGCAATTTCAATAATTAAATAAACTTTATATATTGTCGGTTAGATTTAATTTAAATATCTTAATATAATTTTTTTGTTATAAAAGTCTTTTTAAAACGAATAGATACTTTTAAATACAAGCCTGAAACATATAATTCTTGATAATTTGTATACATTATTTATGTAATCTATAGAAGATATTGTTAAATGAATAAAAATATCTTTTTTTTTTTTTTTTTAATGAATTTTTATGATAATTTTCCATCTATTGTATTATTGAAACTAATATTACCTACAGTATATTAGAATTTAATGTAGGTTTGGAAAGTTTCTCCTTGGTGAACATATAAATTAACTTATGAATCTGAAATTGTAATCCTTCGTAAGATATTTATTTTAAATCGCATAATAAATCAAATTTCTACTCAAAATCATGTCTCAAGCTACTGACAACGATTTGGAATTCTAAGAGAAACATAAAATTTTACTTGATATTCAAGATCTGGCCACATTATTACTAATTTCAAGTATCGACCTCGGTCTAAAAAAATCCAAAGTAAATTATCTTAATGAAGCAATGATTCGTGAATATTATCCCTAAAAAGATCTAATTTTAAAGTCCTCACTCTCTTATCCTGAAAAAACATGGAAGAAATTGAAAATTGAGTGACACAATCGTGTATTCGTCGACACAGTAGAAACATCACTGTATACTCAGACCGAGGCAATGATACACCGTCGGCTTATCAAGGGCTCGCCAAGGTCAACAATACGCTCAACAATATGCTTTTCCAGCCACATAAGCCTTCCCACCAATGTTAGCCTTGACTTCGGGTATATCGGAGCTTGCGTCTCGGGGAGTCTCGATGATATCGAGCGGCACGAATAATTTCGATAATTATGTGGGACAAGTAAGCCAGCATAGGTGAAAATAAACGTTCATTAAAAGCTCTATTTAGTTGGGCTTGAACGATCGTGCTTTAAAATATCAAGGAAGAATTTTTTACAAGGATGAGAATGGCTACTTAAAAGGACGTGACGTGGAGCTCGATAGAAGGTGAAATATTCTTCCGGATCTAAGACCTTATTCTGCGGACTCTCATTTTGGCATACGAAGACGTTTTATTTCGATAAAAATTTTCTAGGACATATTTGAATGCTCGAATAGTTTAGGGCGTTCGATATAATAACAAAAAATTTATTCATTTGTTCATTATTTATTCTAATCTTCAAAATTTCTATAACAATATTGCATTATATACGCAATTACAAAGTACATATTATAGCAAAAATTTAAAGAACATTAAATAGTAATTGACTGGTTGGTATATATTGGAATAGCGATCAATTACGATCAATAGACGAAATTACCTAATTAATCGAAATTAATGTGAGATTAATTATATAATTGTTTACTTAGGATAATGATGATTGGAATGTTTTGCAATTCTGAATAAATATCGTGCGGAGTTTATTAAAGATATTTACGCTCTAATAATTGTGGAAACTCTTGCTTAAAGTCTTTATAATTATATTGAAAAAGCTGAGTTCTTCATTCGCAATTTATACAGTCTAACGAAAATACGAGTAAATTATAAAATTAAATCGTCACTTAACGAAGTTTTCGTGTAAATGGTTAGCGCTTAGCAACGTTTGTCAATCGAAGCGATCAATAAGTAAGTTTGCAAGCCCCTTGGTTCTTCAAAATACATCGCGCACGAAGCCTTCCATCGGAGACCACGTGCGAGTGAGAGCGAGAGAGAGCGCGTGGGGGGGGCAGTGACCGGCTGTCACGTTAGAGTCTATTTTGTGCAAAAAGACGATAGGGGCTTCTTTTGTGGGGGCGGCAAATTCATGGTGGCAGGATGTATGCCGGGCGGGTCGATAAGCACACGTGAGCGGTTGGTTACGTCAGTGGACGATATACCCGCTGACCCACTTAATCGTCGAGACGAGGCCGAGACGTCGTTTATCGCGTGGCCCTTGCCGATCCTTCGCGATTCTCCTCCTGATCTCGTTCTCGGGGAATGCCCGGTATTATTTCCGTTGCATCGCGTTGCCGTCACGACCCCATTTTCTGCTTAGCCCCCATCTGTTTTTCGCGACTCTGCGTGCCGCGACTCTTACAACGACGACTCGACGTCATTATCAATTTGTCATTTTAATCAAAAGCGTTTTTCAATATTCTCTCGTATTCGAGAATCGGACATACGTTTACAGCAACGATTTGTCTGCAACGTTCATCCGGTCTCAAAAATTATGCTCGATCCATTGTGCTTTATATAACGTGCATAATGCTTAGCAATAGTATTAAAAATAAGCGAAAGTATGTTTTAAATTTTACATTTACTAAATTATATGCTATTAATTTACCTTATTAATTCGCCTTAATTTAGTCCTTTAATCATTTAATGAAATAATGTTATTTAATTATGAATCTAATAATAATACGAACGTCGGTATTCAAATACTTGGAATACGTTTGAGAGTCAGTCACGTTCGAGCATTGGATTGAATAAACGATGATTTATAAGATTTACATCGTCATATTCATTATAAAATATATTAATTAATTATAGTAAAAAATTTAAACCGTAATCCGTTTAACGATGTTTATTCATTAGTCGATTCATCAATTAATCTGCTTATTCAATTAATCGTTGTTTACGTTATATTATGATTATTTATCCCATTATGTCATTATAGCAGGTAGAGGATATATTTTAAAATATATATCGTACTCACGAGCTATTATAATGATATTTAAATTTCTGAAAAATATTAAGCTTAAAAGTTATTCATTTTTAGAATTTAATGGAAAATGTTCATTTCGTAATCCCTTAGAAGCAGCGCTTGTATATTCATCATATTAATTCGCATTTGCGACTTCGTATGTTTTAGGGGCGGCCGTGATATGTTATCAGTGCAATAGCGAATACGATCCGAGATGCGGTGACCCTTTCGACCCTTATAGCCTTGGTACAGTTAATTGTAGTTTTCAGCCACGTTTGGAGCATCTCAGTAATCTCGAGCCCACACTCTGCAGAAAAATTAGACAAAAAGGTGAGTAATTTTAAGCAATTTCGCTGCTTTTTTTTTTACATTTAATATGAATATTCGATACATCTATTTTCCCTTTTCGATACTTGTGCCAAGTAAACGAGATTAGCGTCCCATCCTGTGTCACCAATGTCATTATTTAACTTCACCGGTCCCTACACAAAAACCAATCGCATTATTTTCTTCCTTCATCACCCATCTACCAACGCTATTTAGCTTTCAATAACTCTCAACTTGCACTTTCTTTTCTCTTCTTCATAACCCATCTGTCTATACACCTCTAAACCATTATCGATTGTCTATTACATAAGTACTTGTCCCAGGCAATTGAACCCTCGCAGCTCACTCTAATTAACAATCCGATCCCAAATCTTTGGAAATTCTAATACGTTTATCCAATTATATTATTCACTCGTTATTTACTGTTTGATAGATGTCAATTCAAATGCATCTTCGCCCCATCCTATCTCGATATCCCTTCCTCATTCTTACATTACAGCGGTGTACTCCGTGCTCTCAACTCTATCCTTCATCATGGCTGTCAATCATCGTAAGCACACGCGGACTTTGACATCGAAGCCAAGATTATCGAGGCCATTGGGGAATCACAACAACATGGCTACTACGTATCCTCATAACTTAATAGGCATATTCTATATTAATATTACAACGAGAATCACTAACTTACAAGCCTAAATTACGATTTCCTGCTCATACATATACACGTGGAATGTAATTAGAAAATTTAATTCGAAAAATATTATTTATATGTGTGCATTATGTGTAAGGAATAATTTTAAAAAATTCACTTGCTATTTTTCTGTAAATAAAGTATTACATATTCTATTGTTATATTACATTACTTATAGCAAAAAAATCATTATTGATATCTTCATTATTATGTTACTATTTTTCTACAATTAGTAGCGAGCATATTATTTTGCATATTTTTGTTTAAATATAAAATGATTTTAAAATAAAGTGCAAAAAAATTATTTTTAATTTATGGTAAACATTTTTAAGGCGTTGCTTTTAATTTTCCAATGAATTAACATCTAATACATTACGTAGGGAAAATACATTAAAAATTTTAAGCTCATACGATCACTATTACTTATTTCATATTCAATTTTAAGCTTTTAAATTATAGAACAAGATATATATTATTTATATCGCACTGAAAGATATCTATATTTCAATTATTATCAATATTGGTAATAATTGCAAGTTATTTTTACGGAAAGCCAGCAAATGAGGTAACTTTTAAGTGGTATGTACAATAATATTATAAAAATTATCAAGAAATATTATAATCAATAATCAAGTAAAGTGAAGCGTACTTTATTCAATAAAAATAGATTTTTATTTATAGAACAACCAATTTGATGTACCTCCATTCGATCGGTTTACCATACGCATCTATAAAATACACAAGTTCTTTACAATTATTCTTGAAATGACGATTTTAATTTACAAAACTATTAAATATTTCTTTATACTATCTATACAACGATATTATAAATTTTTTTATGATTTTTCAGTTTTCATCAAATTCTGTAACTATTTCATTTTTAATTTAAAAAGATAAAAAATTTTGCAACATGCATTTGATTCTGTTCTACTTTAGGCAATTTTTATTAAAGAAAACATTCAATGGCATATTAACGTCATTTCATTAGCTTAAAAATGTACTATTTACAGAAATCATTAACTTATCATTTGGATTTGGCATAGCCATCAATTTTGATGAGATAATTTACAGATAGATATTTCACACACGCACGCACGCGCGCACGCCCGCACGCACGCACACACACACGCACGCACACACACACACACACACACACACACACACACACACATTACTTGATTATATTTGATAAGTCATCGATAATTACTTATTTTCTATTGATCGATATCAATTTTATTATATAAATAATATATAATACTTACGAGGAATTAAATTTTATATTCAAATACGTTTTAAAATACATTTATAATGAAACACATTTACCTTTGTAGTCGTAGTACTACAGTTTGCTTATAAAGTTATTATATTATTATAATATCTAATATTTCATCCATATACAATCTTTAATGGCTTTTATGAAGCAAATATAGTGTAAAAAGACAATTAATTATAAGTTTTGGAACATTTTTATTTTCAGCGATAAATTCCAAGTGGTGCATTGCCAAGTAGTCAGCTTGGAGATTTGAAAGGAAAGCAACATTTCCATATTTTATTTTAAATGTTTTGGATATTTTATATTTTTAGAAGATTTATTGTAAAACTTATGTTGAATTTATATTTAAATAACTTAGAGGTACTAGCACTGCTCGACCACATATATATATATATATATATATATATTATGAAGAGCTTACGAGTAACTTCTTATTTGCATATTTACGTATTTGCAAAAACCCTTCAAATCTGAAATCCTTAACCTTCATCTACAAATCAAGAAACGTTTTACGAACTTACAATAGAAACTCAGGCAATTATATTACACAATTATTATTACACAATAATCTATAAGAAGAAATCTATTTATTCAAACATACGTAAAAACTAGTGATATTAGTTAGTATGTTGTAGTATCCTTTAAAAATGTTATATGGTTGGCTTAATTAAAATAGAATTGATGAATTAAAGAAAAAGTTCATTTATACAAAAGATTGTTTTGTTAAATTTTTTTTTTTTTTTTTTTTTTTTTTTTTTTTTATCACATCACTAAACTTTCTTTTAACGTATAAAGTATTTCTATTATTAAATAATAAAAAAATATTCAAAATAAATCACTGTACCAAAAATATTTATTATTTTTCATTAAATCAACTATTCGATCAATTAATGATGTTCGTCTGTGTAAATTAATTTCATCAAAATAAGTATTAACTTCAAATAGCACCGTAACAAATTGGTAGAAAAGTTACAATACTACTTTATCTTTAAAAATGAATAGAATTATAATAGATATAAATATATATATATATATATATATATATATACATACATAGAATGTGATGTAAATATTTATTTATTCGTATAATATTTTTTATCATTAATATATTTCTTATTCACTTTAATTGTTAATTATAATTAAATGCTAATCTATCATCACGACTTATATATAAAGGAGTGTATTATAATGTAATAAAATATTATTTATTAATGTTCTATTAATTATAAACAGTTATAAAGTCAATTTTAAAATTTCTTCGTGTTGTATAAATATAGTTTAACAGTGATATAATCCTCATATATATATATATATATATATGGGTATTAATATTCAACCTCTGTATTATCTTAATATCTATAAGCAACAGTAGCCCTCGAGCGTTACAAGAAAACTTAAAGCAACGAAGTGCAATTAACTCTTATCATCTTAAAAGTATATCTAGCTGCAAGTTATAAGCATAGGATATAAAATAAATACATTGTTGAAAGAGAAATTGTAAGTATGTTTCTTTGATAATTATATAGATGAAATACTGCTCAGTATTTTGATGTAGTGAATTTCAATAATTTATTTGTTTCCACCTGTTAAATAATATTTAATGCAACGACAAAATAGTTTATATATATTATTTATTATTAAAAATAACTTTATTATTAAAAATGAGAAATTTATGAAGATTTTCACTATTCTGTTAATAATTTTATGTTGTTGTTGTTGTTGTTGTTGTTGTTGTTGTTGTTGTTGTTGTTGTTGTTGTTGTTGTTGTAATTATTATTATTATTATTATTATTATTATTATCTAAAATATATAACAAATTTTTCATTACAATATACTTTAATAACTATTACTTTTAAAATTGCAAATAATTTATGAATAACATTGCACAATGACAAGAATCTTTAATTAAGATATTAAATAATTTGCCATATTGGAGCTTTAAAATACATTTTAAATTATAATAACAAATAATCCATAATTATAAATACAAATGTAATAAAAAGTTCATTTACGATAAAAAGACTCTCAATATGTAAATCTTAATTTTTCATAATTTATTGTCATATAACAAAACAGATTATGCAAAAAGTGTTATATTCGTTTGTTCTTAATTACTTAATCTGCATTAAGAAATATGCCTAATAGCATTTATAATTTGGATCATAAAATTATATTTGTAAATGGAACAATCTATCTATCTTTCTACGTTAATGTGATTAAAGATTTATTGATAATCTCAAAGACTTAATGCATCGATGCTACCCCCTTCTCTACGTACTTTATTTTCTACCACACGAAGGCCTCGTTTATCGAAATGTCGAACATTGTCCGGGGCAGCAAGCGAATGTTAGACGAAGAAGGAGAAAAAGAGAATTTGGCAAGCTATCATCCAGCCTGCATTGCGGCATCCCCGTACCAGTGGCACGTGATTCGCGTCCCCTTTTCACCCTCTTACGTAACGAAAGGCACAGCTATCCAACCCACTCCCACCCACTCACACGCCTTTTACCTCTCAATGGCTCCGTCATTAGACAGCATAGCGAATTTCATTTCTGAATTTTACAAAAATAAACGAGGCATAGAATGCGTTCCTCTTGAAAATGAGCTTTCAACATCAATGTAATCGCTAGCCTTGCTAAGTTTCTTCCTTGACACTCGTCCAGAAGGTTTTTATTGCAGCAATTATGGACAACATTGACGGATGCTCTCATCAAAGAGCTGCCCATGTGAATTTGTAAGAGTCGAAAACTTTGACGCGTAATTGTATTACACTTTTGTGGACTCTATCCAATAAAATGTTCATTTCATTAAAAGAGAGTAAAACAAGATCGGGAATCCGATGATAAAGTGTTAAAATACAAATTACTTTGGCATTATTTTCATAATAAGTAAATAAAACAATAGAAGCATTGAAATGTCGCTGAAATTGAAAATAACTTTTTATTAACTAGCATCGTAACAACGAACTGATTAAATTACCAATTAATGAATTAATTATCTTATGGCTCGAAGTGAAATTATCAAACGTGATTCTTAGCATTATAAATATGATGATATTAAATTGATTGACAAATTTTTGTATATTTGTATTTGAAAGAATCAATTTTTCGTGTAAACGTTCAAATAATTCAATATAAAATTGTAGACATCCGTAAAATGATTTATACTGCATTTATATTAGATTTATTTTCAATTTATATGCGTAAAAAATTACTCTGACTAAACTATACATACGTTCAAATTTCAATATGACTAATTAATAATTTTTATTATTGTTAATTAGCAAATAATTTAAATTTATTATGTTTTATAAAACTATTTTTATAACGTATATCAGAAATCAGCGCCAAGATGAACAGTATTTTGTTAATAATCTCAGAAGTTGATTACAATTAATCTAAACTACGAGTCTGTCTTAACTCACCTGTCGATAATTAATTATTAATCCCTATTACAAATAGAAATTTATATCAATTATAAATACTTTGTAAAAAAAATAATATGTATGTGCGTGTGCGTCACTCGAATATTTTTCAAACTTGTAAAACTATATAATTATGCACATGTTGATCGTAAAAAACCAAATTACCTCGTAGATAGTTTTTTCTGTACGAGGCTAAAATTTTGTATCCGCGACAAAATGTACTCGCTCGGATTTCGGTTAACATTATTTTGTTGAAATTGCGTGGCACTGACAGCTTGTCGGCGTCAACGTTTGTAAGTTTAAAACTGTGTCCTTAAAAGTAATATTTATCATGCGAGTAATTTCTAGTAAGAAATAAAGAACAACACTGGGCGATAAAAGTTGATGGTATGCGGATTTTATTTTGATAGGTATAATCAGCACCGTTATTCTATAATTATTCTATATATTTATTTCAAAAACGTGGCTTTATTAGTCAAACGGTTCTCAAACGCAATAAATATTGAAGCTGTTCGGCCGAATGAAATAACGCACCATAGAATAATTTTTAAGTAATCACTAGATACTCGTGATCTTGATATTTCTTCAGGCGTTCATATATAAATTGAGTAGAAATTTTAGGATTTCTTTTACTGCAAATAAAGTACAAATTGTTTTATCTGAAAATTGAACTGTAAGCTCATTGTCCATTCTACGAAAATAGTTTTACAATATACAATATTCAATAAAAATTTTTTATAATATTGATTTATATACAATCGAATGCTCTTTAAACTTGTACATAAATACTACACAATTTCAAATAAACTCTGCCTCTCATCTATTTGCCATAAAAGAAGAAAAAGAAAAAAAGAAAAAAAGAAAAGAGAAAATTTATTAATAATTATTGGCGAGAATTATACGTAATGTATCTTGTACTTTTAATTTATTCAATTGTTAAAATTATTTATGGACTTCATAATGCATTAATTTCATAATTATATGCAAGTTTTTAAAGCAGACTATTGATTGCTTAACATTATATTGTATATTATTTCATATACATGTTCTTTAGATTCTCAATTACCTAATTACAGCGTATTTAATAATGATTTGTGTCGAATAATGTGCCGTTTAGCAGATTGTAAACATTAATCAAAACAATGCCTTTGGAACTATACGTGAATCGCATGTTTCAGCATGTTAATGTTAACTTACTGTTGGTTAAAATCAAGAAACAAGCACAGACAAATTAAAGAATCGTTATATATGTAAAGTACATCATTCCTAGCGCATTGAAGGCGAAATGATGAATTCTCGGAACTCTAACACTGCCTCTCCATTTACCATAGAATGAATGTTTTATTTGTATTCAAATTGGCTTCCTCGTGAAAAGGACGAACTGGATCAGCGAGGGCAGAGGAAACTCGCGAAATATTAGGTTATTAAATTGAGAAAGAGCAATTTGTATGGGCTTGGGGGAGGGGAGGGGGAGGGAGAGGAGTTCAACATCATATACCATTGGTCATTGATTGATATTATTTTTCTCAGGGGCTAGGTAGCTCTGAACTTTTGGAGACTTTGGTAAAATATCACAATACCAATCGCCCTGCCCTTCCTCTATACTCCGTTGGTTGTATGCGCGGAGCCCTCCGGGTGTACCTTGTGCCTCCATTCCCAATCTAAAAATGCAATTAATCCACAACGGGAATTTATCGTTCCGACATGTGCCCACGTTTTCCAATTTTTTTTTACTCTTCAATAATCATTCTAAGTGGCTAAATATAACACTGGACTCGGACATTTTAACGCGATTCGTATCGATAATAAGCATTAATTATCATTTCTTAAAAACCGGTATTTCTGTAATTAAGAAAAAGTAATTATATTTATTTTGATAAAAGTCTAAGGAATATTTATAACAAATTATAAAATCACTTGTAAGTTTTCGTTGACAGAACTTTGAAAATCTAATGGAATTTTTCATCGATCGATATAGTCAATCAGTCATTGTTATTATTTTCTTTAAATAATTATGTAAGGAGGAATTGAAATTGTATTAAAAAGTTTTAGATGCATCATATTTAAATTAAATTTACCGCAATATTTTTGAATTAGTTTAATAAGCTCTATGCATAATATGATAAGAAAATTTTTATAGTATTTTGAAAATTATATTAAAGTATTGAGATTTATCATTTTATTTATATATTCCTTTTATAATTAAGGCTCAGTCTATAATTCTTGAAACTCATCGGAAACAAAAGAGCCTCCAATTTCTATAATTTTATGAGCGATATTTTTTTATTTTTTTATTTATTTATTTTTTTTTTAAATATAAATCCCATAGCTTATAGTCAATAAAATATCAAAAATGCACATTCTCTAATAAAATTTCTTTTATTTTATTTCTAAATATTAATGATGTCTTATTTCAGGTATAGGATGATCGAACCATATAACATACAAGTTACGTCTGAGTTTATTGAATATTTTGAACATTAAAGAAATTAAGCATTTATTCAATAAGATTATTAAAATAAGTTTCGCGAATGACATACTTGACATTGCTTTTTATTTTGATTTTTCAGTTATGATTACAATTATTGTCATTGTCGTTCAATCATTGAGTAAGTTAATAAGTATGAAATTGATAATTATATGAACATTTTTTTACGTAAAATCAAAGAAATAATCTAAATTAAGCTAAAATTATATTGTCATCGTGTTAACGACACATATCATTGCTCAAAATTTCTAAAATTATATAGGACTTGAATTTATGAAGGTATTGCTGAAATTAATTGAAAAGTATTTTATTAAAAAGTATTATATATTAAATATTTATTATCTGATTTACAAGGCTGGTATTATTAATTATATATATTCATGCGTAGAAAGTGACGAAGAAAAAAAAATTAATGTTTCAGTGTACGGAAAATACCGAGTGGTACGTGGCTGCGGTTTTCTGGAGGACGAATTAGCTGACAACAAGGAGTGCCTAAAAAGAAGCGGCACCCATGACGTGGGTGCCCTTTACTGTTCATGTACCACTGACCTTTGTAACAGTGCCAACACGAGTCAGCCCTTGGTTGGACTCATTGTTCTACTTGGTTTCGGTGCCCTATTAATCAGTGGGATCCTAAAGGCGCCCTAAAGATCACATTACCTCATCATTATTCGAACCGTAATGTCGTTTATCAGAATTTTCTTGCAATAATATATAGAGTTCAAAAGTAGTAATTCACTCGTGTATACTCGTAGAGAATTTATTAATTTTCCAAATGAGTTTTTATTTTACAATTTAATTATTAATTTAATTTATTTTATTATAAAGAATAAATTTTATATAATTGTATGTAATGGATTTAATAAAAATATTAGGTATCGAAATGAAAATAATGAAATTGTTTGTTTATAAAAAATATATATAAAAGTATATATATAAAAATATAAATATATATATATAGATATATAATATAATAATATAAATAATATATATAATATTATAATAATAATAATAATAATAATAATAATAATAATAATAATATAATAAATAAATAATATAAAAAAAAAATATATATATATATATATATATATATATATAAATATATATATAAAAAATATATATTAAAAATAAAATGAAAAAAAAAATGTATACAATGAATCGATAGGATTGATTTCAACTTTTTAACGATAATATATTGTATTCAATGCTTATATTGTTAAATAATTTCGGCAACATATATTTTATTCACTTTTATTGTTCACATAATTATTTGCAATTCACTAAACATTGTGAAAAATCTAGATTTATAATGTAACTTATAAATTTTGATAGATTTATGATCGATCGTATAGAATTTATAGACTAATGCTTACAAATCTTGATTATTGCATCACTACTGCAATCGATACACACATGTTCACTCATCCACCCATTCATACAAGTATATACACGGCCGTGTTTGTATTTGTGGCTGTCAACAAATAATAAACATTCGATAAAAAAAAAATAAATAAATAAATAAATAATATTTTTATTAAATATATCATTATTTCATAAATCAATTTATGAAGTTATTTAAATATTATATAATTTAATGCGATGATAAGATGAACATAAATTTTAATTTTTTGTACGTTTATTGGATTTTTTTCTGGAAGAAATAATTATTGAGTTGTAACACAACTACGAGCATCCAAATATGTATTTGCCATTACATATAATGGAACCATTAATAGTTGGTACCATAAATTCTTTTGCAAATAACATTAAGCTTCAAACGTATAGAAAATACTTTATCAAAATGAGTAATTATCCAAATAACTATATAATTCTTTTCATTAATACATTAACTAATAAAAATATAATTTCTTTATTTTAAAAAACATATTACAAGTATTCTATGCATTCTATTAAAATCATATTTTACCGTTAAATTTACGATAGATGTATTAAACTTAGTAAGTTTAAATTCGCAAGTGTCAGAGTTTTTGAAGAAATAAACTATTATTATAGGTTAAGCCTATTAATATTAATAGTGCAATATTTATTTTTTACAGTTTTATCAAGCTTCATCTTGCGGATGAGTGAAAATAGACAATTGGAAGTCTTCAAAAAACAAAAACAAAAACAAAAAAACAAAAAAAAAAAAAATAAAAATAAAACAGAAAATAAAACATTGTGAGGAATAAGAAGACGAAATAAAAATTACTGCTTGAAAGAAATCGAGGAAAAGAAAGGAAAAGGATACATCAGATTTGTTAGCTTTATTTAATATTTCTTCTTGAGGATGATAACATTATGATTGAATGTTCAATGCCCGTTCTTGCGATGGACTCTAACAGACAAGACAAAAAAAAAATAATGATGACATAACGATATAATGAAGAATAATTTACTATGAAGTATTGTTCTTCTATAGTCATGTTTTTTCTTTTCTTTTTTTCTTTTTTTTTTTTTTTTTTTTTTTTTTTTTTTTTTTTTTATTATTATTATTTATTGCAATAAATTAAATGTATTAATTACAAGCAATTAATACTATAAGGTAATTTCGTGCGCTGTAGCGATAATAAATACTTGTGCCGCCTACGTGAACTTTTTGACGTTTTTGTGAAGAAGAATCGCATGGGTGCGATTATGAAACTACCATTTTTAATTAAAATAATATTAAAAAATAAAGGCCCTTAAAATTCTCGTTGCCGTTTATATATATAAAATGATTTTTGAATGAAAAGTAACGAAACATGTAATAAAGAAAATACTCCATTTACATTTGCATTTTAATGATGATGATATTCAAAATGGAAATTATTAGATCGTGTATCCAAAGTTTTTGTAGGGAACGTATTTTAAAATATATGTAGAAAAAGAAGACAAAGTTTTCATTGTATCGATTATAATAAAATATACGACATAAAAAATAATACAAAATGGAATATTTGAAATTGGTACAGTTGAAAGCAGATGGCTAACTTATAATATTTTATACGTGTGCAACGTCGATTTTTAAAAGGAAAAAAAATTAATTGACAAGAATAAAATCGATAAAATTTCTATACCAACCTTATATTTCATCTTTCACATAATTCACTTAATATTTCTGTATTTCCTTTACTTTTAAATATTAATCAAGTTATTCATTTTTTTTTTTCTTTCCATTCAACAATTCTTTCAATAACAATTGTTATCAGTATACTTTTCTTGAAAATTGAAAATTAATACGAAAGACACGATGCGGTAATTTTAAAAATATTTTTAATTTAATTTACTGCTAATAATAAAACAGCACATAATAATTTATATTTCTTTAAGTATTATTTAATATTATCGACTGAGCAAAATTCAAATCAAATTGTTTTATATCATAACAATTTATTTAATATTAAATTGTTCTTTTGGATTCAACCCGAAAATGCTCGCTCAATTACAACAGAATTTTGATAACAATAAAGCGCAGGGATTAAAAAGTACATTATATAAATTATATGATAAAAGTATAAGCGATTCGTCCTCACTTGCTGCTAGCTAGCATAGCTGCCAGCACATAAGCGACTAACATATGCGTCAGATTTATACTTAAAGTACTATTGGGCTTCAAGGCTAGAAATAAAAAATAATGCGAATAAAAAATAAAAAAAAGAAGGCAAAAACAGCAATTACAATATGAATCTCGTAAAAGCACAGGATTTGCTATTATAATTAGAAAATTATAATAATTTTAATGCTCGACTGCTCTAATGAAAATAATTATTGAAAGAAATATTTTAAAATTTTCAATGATTAGCGAAAATTTGATTTCAATTTAGATGAAAACAAAAACCAAAAACCAAACAAAAAAAAAAAACAAAACAAAAAAATCAGAATTAAATAAAATATTGAAGTAATTTACGGCGTAGATAAAATTTTTAAGCAAAAAGGCAATTCGACGTTATTTGGAAATATAAATAGGCCGTAGACTCACAGAAAAATTTCAGATTATCTGATGATCTTCATAACAATAAGCATTAATTATAAATTAATTAATGAAGGTTCCGTTCATGTTAGGAATAAAAAAAAATAATACGAACTTGACTCGGTATCAGCAGGCGTTTACTATTACCATCTCAGCGATGCCTCATTATTTATTAATGGTTTTTTTTTTTTTTTTATATTATCGTCAACTCAAATAATATATAATCACAATACAAATTCTTATCAAATATGCATATTATTTAAATTTTCAACTACTTGTATCTATTTTTCTAATTTAAGACGAGAATGTTAATATTGTTAAATTTTTTATTTTTAAATCAATTATAAAAATAATCTTTTGTATGCTTTAAAATGTAAATTTAAAAGTAAACATGTCCTTTGCAAAGTACAAATGTCAAGTATTTTGCTACGCAAAACTAAAGTAGATAAGTCGAGGAAGATTCGAGGAGCAATACGTGAATTTATCTCGAGTTTTACAATTATTGTAAACTCAATATTAATTCAACATTATCTTCCTCATTATCGTTATTGTTATGAGTCGTGTGGCTTACATTCTTTTGATACAAAAGTAATAAATTCGTCAGGAGCGAGTGCTTTTTTAATAATGGAATAAGTGAGATCGAAAGCAAAGTCTACCTTTTAAACTTCAAAAAAAAAAAAAAAAAAAAAAAAATTTTCATTTCGCAATTCTTCTAATTATGCAAAACATAAGATTCTATACAAAAATTATCAAATACAAATATATACAAAAATTATCATGAGTTATTGCAAAATTAATGAGTTCAAAACATAACTTTTTTGAGTATAACATCTGTAAAATTTCATACAATTATATTTTATAATCTTATGTTATTCCATTGTATAAAAAATTTTCCTAAGAGAATAAATCCAAATGATTATTCAAATTTCACAAATTTATATAGGCATAATGTAGTAAGAGTAAATACTAAAACATAAGAACTTACATGAATAAAAAAAAAATTCATTATTCCTTATGCATTATTATCAAGTTTTGAAAATCGGTTAATTAACGATTGCCAAAGAAAAATTATTATTATTTCAAGTCAGTATTAAACATTTGAAAAAAACGTTTTAGTTATATTTGATGTTTATTGCAATTATGACATTATTGGAATGTTCTGAATATATCTTTGAAATCGAGCAAATATATAGCGTAAAATATCTCATGTATGTACCTCAACACTTCGGTAATTATCAATATTAATTCTAAACGTCAAGACATATCAATGCGTAAATTTAGTACTTCAATATTGAAACAATAAAAGTATTATTGTGCAAAAACTAATTAGTGATACTTACGAATTAATTAATAATTCAATACGTGTATCATCTTTATATTTTATTTCAAGGTATTTTTTAATACATGAAATTTTGCAAAATTTGAGTATGTAAATTTAGATTGTTCTTATTAATTCTATTATTAATTAATTAATTAATTCTATTCTTATTGAGACGAAAGTATTCTTTAGTCATAATAGTAAATACTGTTTTTTATACAATAAATTAATTTATGAAAATAATTTTTTTAACCATGCTAGTAGAATACACAAAAACAATTTTGTATTCATTTATAATATGTAAAAAAAAAATATCATATTGAGTTATAACCAAAATATTTACTTTATTTTTACAAAGAGAAGGATTTTTCATTAATGAAAATGCAAATTTGATATATAAATACATATATAAAATAAAAATTTATACCGTACTAATTATTGAAATTTCGAAAATGTCTTTTGCACATAAATACTTTTAAAACACTTTGATTCGCGTAATAATGAAACTACTTTATTTAAAAATCATCGCTTCGAATTGATATTCACGAGGAATTGCCATTGCACGCATCGGCCTATGAGCATGATCTATTTACATTAAAATAAAATAATAATAAACGATAAATTTAAATAAGAAACGATGAAGTTTATAAATAAAAGGGGTACATCGCATCTAAGGTGGAGTACTACGAGTAAACAATCATCCGAGGCGAGTAGAAATCCAATTGGTAAGAGCAAGCAGGTACGTTTTTATCATCGTTAAAAACTATTCCCTCCGATTGTATCGAAAGAATGTTATAATTCAGTTAATGATTGATTAATTAATAATATATTATATATTGATGCCGAACGATATTATATTGTTTACAGACTCATGTTGTATAGAGAATATTGTATCAATAAAGTGTTAAATAGTTACCGAAAAATATTGTAAGTTATTGTCCATTTATTGTACATCGCTAAAAATAAAAAAAATTGCCCTCTCATAAACGATAGTATTTAAAGATTTGTAGCACTTTTTTTTTTTTAATAATTAACATGTTGATATTATTAGGAGAAAATGTCGATTGGTTAAGTTCTTTGGATAATTTAAGCAATTTATTTTGATGAAAGAACAACCAAGTTTATAAAATTTGATTTTGATACGCAGACGGAGGAATTTATTGGTTCTTTGGTATCGGGTAAAAAGCTTGAAATCAATAAAACTCGAATAACGAGAATATTAAATAATTTCCAATGCTATATATTTAAATAAACAATCAAATTTTTATTTCGTTTTATATGTAGTTTTAAAAGCGCATATGCTGATATGCTGTGCAGTGTGCAATATCTCGTTTGTCAATATTGCAAAGCAGTTCGATTAATGCAAAATGATGTCCTTATAGGTGAAACTAAAGAATTAGCAGGATAAGAAGTAAAAGATTCTCATTTATAATACAAGAGCTATAATATTGTCCCTGTGCCGACATTAGTCAGTCGACATATTTCTAAATGTTCCATATCGATAAAAGTTCACAGAACTCATAAAATAAAAGACTGTAAATTGAAAGTTTGGCGCCATCAATTCTCTTCATATTTTCTTCACGATGCACTAAAAACTCAAATAATGTCCTGTTATCCTGATCAAATGTGAATCACTTTAACGCGGAGCTATTCATCGGTCGAGAATGCGATGAATCTACGACGCAGGTAGGAGTGACCTCCCGTCATGTCACTCTTATCTCTACGTAATTTCATTCTTATAATCGTATACGTCTGTGGCCACATATTGATGTTTCCATAATTAGTAACTAAAACAGTAACGTGCGAACAAAAATAAAATTTTTGGAAAAAATAATGAACATATTACACTTTCTTATATTTGTCATGAATATAATTTATTCGCGTAGTATAAAAGCTCTTTTATAAATTGCCAAGTACACAGGTTTTCCATAAACAGGTACTCGATGCTGTATAACTTCATCGAAATGATTCGATATTTTGAAGGCACCAAACAATAAACGTTATATTTAGGAAAAATACTTTTTCGTTATAAATACGTAATCGCATTTAACATTAAATTGATTTCGAACTAATTTCCTTATATTTCATCTCTTTTTTAAGAAAATAATGTCATATATTATCATTTATATTAGTTGAATACAGAGCAATTGGAATGATAATTAGTAATTTTGTTATCTTAAATAATTTAAATTTTCATCATGTTCTATTTCAATGTAAATGAATATTTTTTGAAGAAAAAAAAATATGTATATATATAATATATTCAAAATATAATAATCTAAAAAATTTTTTTATTTATTTATTTGTTTATTTTTTTAATAAAAAATAAAATTATAATATCAAATGAAACTATCGATCATCGTATCGTTTTACCAATGCTGTTTTGGTAATAAGAAATAATTCCTAAATTAAAGTCCTTTTCTTTCATGATATAAAAAATTTTTACGAATCCTTAAACTATAGTAACTGGCACCACACTTGACATTCTGAATCATCCAAAGTATATTTCTCTTTGTGCGCATCATCACTATGTGAAATATGGTCGTTATTTCACAAACACAATATACGATTTTTCGACTAGTATTATCAAGATGCCGTATATTTTGAATAATGTATCTGTCTTTGTTTCACATTGCATGAGGCAAATTAACATTAAACGTACGCCATCAATGACTAGGAGTCAGCAAGAACTGTGATACTTGCATTTCTTTCTTCTTCATTCGACGAAAAGGGTGTAACAACTTGCATATTAACTGATATGTAGAGGGGATAGGATAAATCCTTGTCAAGACACATAACTTGCTTCTGAAATAACATTTATACATATATTTTCATTCATTAATTTACTTAAATATAAAACTAATAATGTGATGTGTATGATATTTACAATAGTATGTATATATTCTTTATAACAATTACTAACTGGATTTAATGTAGAAAATTAGTAAATACGAACTGTGTTAAATGGGCAATTTTTTAATTTTAAATTCAGGATCTAATTTTACTTAAAATTTATTTTAATTTGATTCGATATACATATCTTCCTGTGATTTAAAATAAATAAAATATCTCAAATTATTTATTAAAAATCATAAAAGAATCAATCAAAAACATTACTTTTAAATGATATGAAAATCTAGTATTAATTATATTCCTCTTGATTGTAACGAAAGTGTTATGCTTTTAAATTTTTATCATCTTTTAAAAAGATATTCACCAATTGATTTCAAAGATCATACACATTAAAAAACTAATTTTAAATATATTTAATTTAATTTAAAATAGAGTAAATATATTTCAAGTATATTTCAGAGAAAATTTACCTCTTCATTTTTGTGTAACGATAGTCTAATTTGTCCAGAATCTTGTATGTATTTAATTTGTCGCTGTTCGTTTAAGGAAATGAGGCAAACCCTAAAAATAATTTCGTATTTTAAATAAGAAAATTTATTAATAAATATCTTAGCCCAATTAATACTTACTTTAATATAATATGATGTTTACTGTGATTGGCTTTTATGTGCTCCGAGTCCAGTCTATTATACCTTTTGAATCTCAGAGTCGTTAGGTCGAGATTAACAACAAGGTCTAGGCCGAAATGAAAAGCAGTCCATCGCCACACGTGCTCTCCCGGTCTATCGACACATCTAGCACAACGGAAACATTCTCTTGAAAAATCCAACTCATCCATATTTTTAGGCCTACAACACAATGGATAAAAAAATTTCATTAAATGGAATAGTTATTTTGATTATCATTTAAGCAGTCAAATACCTAGATTCAAATGCTTGTTTTAATAAGAAGAAAGTGACAGACGGAAATTTATTCAGGAATCTAGGGTAGATCGAAGGAATTAAATTTTTCATGTAATGACAAGGTGCGATTAACTTATTTACCCTGTATCTTTATTTGCATCAATTCTTAGAATATGAAGCCATTGCTCTTTATAAGATTCGTACAACCAATCCTCGGGAATTATATTGTCATTTTGCAAAAGCTTTACATCTTGATCATTCAATAGCAAGTATTTTTTACGAAGAGCTTTAAAAGGAGCGCAAAACTCCTTGCCTTCTTTTGTATCGAGAAATGGTTCGGTCCATGTATGGCTTCTAAAAAACTCCTCAATTTGTATTATTTCATCTTTACTTTGTATATGAACAAACAACCTGAAAATATTAATTTAGTTTCTATAGAAAATATTTACAAATGCAGTAGATTTGTATAGTATTTAAATTATAAATTAATTTCAAATGATATTTGCTTAAGTATAATATTAAAGTATACATTAGCTTACCATATTCTTAACATCATGTAAATGCAAAATTCTGTTTGCATAGCTATTAAGTCAGGACTAGATATAAGCTCTGCCATTAAATCTGAATTTATCTCCTTTAAGAATGTAGGGTAAAGCCAGCCATATCCTACTACATTAACTTCTAACCACCTTTTACACGTATTTTTTACCTTTGGCACACCATAAGCAACAGCTGCATTATAATAAGGAACTACAGTTTTTATATTTGTTGTTTCAGCCATGATTTCTGTACATTGATCTATAAGACCTTGGAGTTGAAAAAGTGTTGCTGTTGCTAGTATGGAAATTACATCTTTTGGCTCAAGACTGATTTCATCTTGATAAAAAGAGCCAAGGACAAGAGTGAGCGCTGTAATTACATTAAAATATTATTTAAGATTAAAATCTATTAATAATATCAACAACAACAAAAAAAATAAAATAAAAAAACCATATATTTAGTAAATCCTGTTGTTTTTTAAAAACTTTGTTAAAATAATTATCTTTTGTATTTTAATAAGAAATATGATACTTTAAATAAATTCTATGTCACATTGAATGAATGTATTATAAAGAGAATAAATTTGTGCTTATGCAATTTTTAATAGCACACGGCAATATAAAAATTGTTTAAACATTTTTTAATTAATTTCAAATATGTAATTTAGGTGAACTTTAAGAATTCACTGATACACCTTTATAAAAACTATTTAGACACAAGACCATAAAAGTTAAAAGTCAAGTCAAATAGGAGATGGTATAGAATCCCTAATATAGAAAAGTAGGTCGAGCATGATGAAACTCGTGATAAGCTTTCACTTTTTATTTTGGGAATCTTATTGTAATTCTCTTATATAATAAAGTCTGTCTAAATTGAAATAAAATTATCTTACAGTCTAGTGTGATATTGGGATCGGTGATCTCGACGCTCACTACCTTCTCATTAGCTTCGCGCCAAGAACCAGAAAACATACTAGCAAAGTATGGACTCTGAAAGAAAAAATTATTGTTAATAATTAATTACATTTCGTCAAATATTAATGTTTATGAATACGCTTATCTTAATAATTATATTTATTATATACTAAGAACGTTTATTATTTATTTGCTCTTTATCTTACATCGTAAAAATGCAACACTAAGTAAAAAATATTAAAATTCTTTTGATATAAGTTGTAGGAATTATAAATAATGTTAATATTAAGTTTAGTTATTTAATTTCAGAATATAAATTGAGCTCTTAACTCATTTGTGTGTGTGTGTGTGTGTGTGTGTGTGTGTGTGTGTGTGTTCAATTAAATGAAACTTTTCAAATATTACTTATGCTATGATTTCACAAATATAAATTATAAATATGGTTTCTAATGGAATGAATTTATTTCTTAAATGTTTTCAATTCTTAGTGTTCTATTTCCAAATATTAAACTATGTATATTATAATGATCTATATTAATGTTGTTATAAATAAAGAATAATGATAATCATTATTATTAATAGTTTCATTTAAAATGTGCTTAATGATATTAAGTAGAAAAGCTTTAAACAAGCTTATATATAAAATTACTTGACTTATGTAAACTTTATGCAGTCTCCAAGCTTTTCCGAGCATTAGCACTGTAACATCGCTGCCTTTTTCTTCTTGAAATAATGTCTTGTAAATGTACTGAGCAGTAGTAAGTAATTTTCTCCTAAAAAATAATTATACATATTTTCAAATACATCAAATAAAAGTAGCATATTTATTAAATCTCTAAATACAATTTTTTATAAAAAGATCTGCAAAATGATGTCATCAGTTTAAATAAGGATTATTACCTCACATGAATACGAAATGTTTGGCAAATACAAATATAAGTAAAAACTCATACTATAATACATTGCACAATATTTGGACTTTGACATTTAAATATAATATTTATATAGTAATGCATGAGGCAAATATGAAAGAAAAAAAGGAAAGAGCATGTGTGAGAATACGAGTGAGCAAATGGGTAAATAAATATATATATATATATGCACACGTATATAAAAAGAAATAGAGAGAGAGAGAGAGAGAGAGAGAGAGCAGACAAACAAAGACGGAGGGAAAGCAATGGATGGATAGATGATGATTAAGTAAATGGGTGTATGGGCGGATGAGATAGGCAGATTAATGGACAAAGAATGAAAATGAGAAAAGGAGAAATCGGGAGATTTGGATGAAATTACGAATAGATACAAATAGATCCGAATGAAAACAAGTATTATTTATAGAAAACACTATCCACATGAAAGAAAAAACATATAGACCTTTTGGGAGTCTGCATTGTTTTGTCGATAAATCTTGACTCGGACTCCAAATCATCTTCTTCGATACATTTTCTTTTTCTACCTCGATAGACTGAATTTACTGCGCTGTTGGATGCTGTTAGTACCCTACTCACGTAGCTGCCCATTACACTGATTTACTTCTTGTAAAAATTAATAAAAATATAAATAACTTGAAAATATTACACCCAAGTTTTGCACGCAATTTTAACACCAGAAACACGTCGGTGACCTCGTGATTAGTTCTTCGTAGTCGCGCTCACCGTCATCGTGAGGTTATGATCAACAACAGCTTGAAGTAGAGCTAAAAAAGCACGTATATGCACTAATGATGCACAAAATAAAGAATCCGACAAGATCAGTGAGGATGGCCGAGCGCTCCAAAACGTAAACATTTCCGTATACGCTTGCGTGCGTTTAGAAAAGCTACCATACTAAAAGGTATTCGTGTCTTTTCCGTCTGTTTATCACTGAAACCGTCAAACTCCAGCAGCAGCTGTTTTTCCACTAATTTTATAGCTCTTTCTCTTTTTACTTTGTGGTATCGTCGATATTCATCTCTTTTATTTTCCCATTTCGCGCCCTCTCTCTCGCTCTCTCTCTCTCTCTCTCTCTCGCTGTCTGTATCTACCAAACTATTGTTCTCTCACTCTACTATAATCACGCGCACTAGTTATTTCACTCCCGCTTACATTCGCCTAGTTATGTCTCTCTTCTCTCTTCCTCTTAGCTCTCGCGTAATCATTCGCGTATCCACGCTTTCTCCCTCTCGTCATCTCCCACTCTCACTCTCACTCTCTCACTCTTTCTCTCTCTCTCTCTCTCTCTCTCTCATCCTATCTCTATCTACCTAACTCTCTACTCCCTTTCAATCGCATAATTTGGATGCGCACGCATGTAATTTTCAGGATCGTATATAGACGACCAAAAGTAAAGATATAATTATATTTTAAGGATTGCCATTTAATTTTAATTTATTAATAATATTACATATTATGGAATTAATAGTTATAAACATAATAAGGATGATAATTTTATAATATACATTTTTAATTTTTCGTCCATATGTACATGTATTTGGAAATTTTTTGATCGGAATTTTTTAAATTCATATTACGCTACTGGAAAATCAAGATGGAATCGTCGAATCGCCGCGGAAAGTAATCCAAAATACTTTAAGATAAAACAGGAAAGGTCGTACAGGCTTTTCTAAAAAAAACGTAATAGTATCTTAAGTTGGTTAACATTGTGATATTCATAAGTATAATTCCATGCAAAATTTTATTTGGAAATTAAATCATTTTAAGCTCACTTGACGTATATGTTATACATGTATCTTTCATCAACCGGTCGCACCTGAAAGATTGAACATATCTAGTACAATATTGTATATTTAATTTCAATCGTGGATCAACTTTACATACTTGATGTATTTTATGTTCCGCTTATCAGGATACTTATAATAAAGTGAAAAGTTTTACAGAACTTTAATTTCATTGTGTTAAAAATATGAATTAACGCAGAAGAAATGACACGAGTAAAAACATTTTAGGTTATATTTGTTTCCTTGCAGTGCAGCTGGAATAAATTATCGTTTTAAATAGTTAATTGTTAGAACAAAAATGAAAGTTAAGCCAAGAGTTTATTTTGATGTTGAAGTGGGTGGTTTACCAATAGGTCGTATTGTTTTTGAACTTTATTCTGATATTTGTCCTAAAACAGCTGAAAACTTTAGAGCATTATGTACTGGAGAATTGGGACTTGGATTATCAACAAACAAACCATTATATTATAGAGGCATAGTATTTCATCGAGTTGTTAAAAATTTTATGATTCAAGGAGGAGATTTTTCAATAGGAAATGGAACAGGTGGAGAATCAATATATGGCGGAACTTTCAAAGATGAAAATTTTACTTATAAACATGATAAACCATTTTTATTATCAATGGCCAATCGTGGTAAAGATACAAACGGTTCACAGTTCTTTATAACTACACAACCTGCTCCTCACTTGGATAATATTCATGTAGTTTTTGGAGAAGTTTTATCAGGGCAGGAAGTTGTAACGCATATTGAAGGACTGCCAGTTGATCGTATGTCTAGACCTTTACAAGATGCAAAAGTTGTCAGTTGTGGAGAACTTGTTCTTAAACCAAAACATAAATCAAAAAGAAAAGAAAAACAAAAAAGCAGTGTATCCGATTCGGATAGTGATTCGGAAAAGAATAAAAAGAAAAAATCAAAAAAAAAGAAATGGTCGGAAGCTGAAAATTGTAAATTATCGGAACCAAGGAAAACTAAAATAGAAGATATGCCACATCCCCTTGTTTCGACCACTAAAATAGATCCTGATGAAATACCAGAAATACCAACAAATAAATTTCTTTATCGAGCGGGTAATACAAGTAATGCTAATCAGAGACAATATATTCAAGATCGTCGACAAAACTTCAAAAAATCTTCGGGTGGTAGGATCTTTAAAGGTCGGGGAATTTGTAGATATCGATCTTCATCACGAAGTCGATCAAAAAGTCTTACTCCACCCCATTGGAAGCAAGCACAAAAGAAAATTATTAAATTACCAGAATTCCAAAAACTTCAACAAAATCAATTGGAAAATGAAAAGGAACCTGAGAAAATAGAAGAAGAACCCGATAGCCCTAATTTGCAAAATAATGGCAAATTGAATGAAAATAATCGAAAAGAAGCAGAGAAAGAAAATACTTTGAAAAAAGATAAAGTGTCAGATAGTCCAAAAACAGAAAAGCAAAATGATAAGAATGAAAAGCAAAAAACATCTCATAAATCAAGACGATCTTCAGACAGAGATAATGAGTCCAGAAATCGACATCGTTCTAAACACAATCGGCAACACAAATCACCTAGTCGCAGTAGTCACAATAAGAGATACCGTAGGCATTCTCCATATGAATCATCATCTCGTTCAAAAAAATCATCACGTCGAGCAGATTGATATACATAATTAATGTATAAAATTATTAAGCAACGTTTCATATTTATAATATGTACAAAATGATTCTAATAAATTGTATTTCAATTTTTAATTTACATAAACTTATTTTGAAAATATAAAGAAAAATTATTTTATATTATGATATGGTTAATAATTAATTTAAATTGTTGTCATTCAGATGCATAACAAAAAAATAAGCAATTCCATTTTTCTAATTAAAAAACTTTGTAAATAAATAATAAAAAGCATGTCGAAAAAAATTATGGTGTACAGTTTCTTTCTTATATATATATCAAATGTAATTTACCATTAAAAAAATTTCTTAAATATTAATGTATCGTTTTATTTACATTAAAAAATTATATATATATATATATATATATATATGTATATACATTATTTTAAGAAGGTAATATTGATTTATTATTTGAACAAATTAATAAATTCAATATCTTACGTAAGTTTTTGTAAATATTTAAAACAAAAAAAACAAAATTCAATATAAAAGAGATTGCATTTATTTCGTTCAAATTATTGTTATTCTTTACAAAGAGATACAAATTTAAAATACAAATTCTATAAATACAAATATAAATATATATATAATATTATGCTCATAGTTAATTATTTTCAACGTATATTTACAAATATTATTAAGAAAAAATTTTTAAATATTTTATCTTCAACTTTATATTTCATTATTTATCTTTTCAATGCACTACATAGTATTCGTAATTGTTTATTAAGTATTAAAATAAAGGCAATGTATTAAAAAATGTAATAAATGTTAATGCGATTAATAAAATAATAATTTCCGTTCACATAAAAAGTTTGAAATAAATTTAAAGAAATATAATTAAAGTACGTAATGTCCATTATTTTTAATAAAATATAAATAAAGCTTTACAGTCTATACTCTATCGAAAATTATCTAAAATTAAGAGTTAAAGCAGTGTATTGAGTATCAATGTATTTGATTGGTGTATGATGTGTCGTAGAAATACAAAATAGTAACAGTTTGTGTTGGTATAATTGCATTATATAATTTTCTGTTAAAATTTTTTTATATTAACTTCAATTCGGATACTTTTAATAAAAATTTTAAAAAATGTTTATATTTTAGCATAATATTGTAATATAAATAAACATGGGGCTTTTGAGGTTAGTTCAAATAAGTTATATATTACTAAAAGTATATTAAATTTATAATAGAATGTCTAATATATAAAATTTTCGAAAAAAAAAAATGTATTAATTCAATTTGAATTTAAATTTCAATCTATATGTATATATATATATATATATATATATATATATATGTATATATTTAAGCATATATACACATGTATGCGTGTGTTCCATTAAATATATTCCATTAAATATTAAATGTCGTATTAATTAGGGAAAGTTATATATATATATATATATATATATATATTTTTTTTTTATCGAGGGTAAAGAATGTTTTGTAAAGTAAATACATATGACGTAATTTATATTAATTTATATTAATCATAGGTCTACTCTTAAATTTGCTGTAAAAGGCTATGTGGCATGGATTGCTATTGATTATACAATTCAAGAAGGCTTTTGGTCTGGCTCAAACGATTCTATTGTGGCCTTCAAAACACTTGGCAACAAAATTAAAGAAATTGTGCCTGAAAATCTAACGAATCAAGTAAGTTAGTTAAAATTCGATGTAATATTACTTTCTGTTACACTTTAAGGGCTTCCGAATTCCAAATAAATATTACACGAAAAATAAGCTTAACGATCAAAATGTTAACTGAGAAATTGTTTGACAAAATTTTAATTTTAATACCTCCTTTTTTAGCTACCCAAACTAAATGTAAACGATAGTGTGAAAAATAGTTGGAATACTCAGGTTAACAATGCTGCAGAATTAATCCTTGTATCACCAAAGAAAATTTCAGTCTTAATAGAAGATACGGTATTTCAGAATGAAAAAATAAATAATACAAATGTCAAACAAAGTAATCGATAGACATGTAAAATATGTATTAAAAATTGGTATAATACATTTTGTGTAAATTAAGTTAATTAAAATGTATTGAAGTTATTGTTCTAACAAATCAGTGTAATGTCATTACAAATATTATCACAAACATTTTTCTTCCATTTTTTAGGACTACACCTTTCGTATAAGGAAAAAGAAAAACAGCTGATAGTACTTTCTGTTTGTATTATGAAAAAAGAATATATTTTAAAAAAAGCTTCTTATACAGCAATTTACATAAGTCAGATATACGCAACATTTTCAACAATCACTGAAAACTTCATTCCTTTTTGAAAGTTTTCATACAATTTCAATAAATTATAATGATTTTTTTTTTATATAAAGCTTGTACTACATCTTTTTACATATTATATATTGATTGAAGAATTTGATTCAGACAAGATCAAATTCATTACATTAATGAATTCCTTTTCTTTGTGTCTTTATTTCTTGAGGCAATGATTAAATATATATTTTCAATTTATGATATTAACAATACTTTTCTTTATTATTTATCTGATATATTTTCTTATTTTTATCATAATGATTAAATTTTAGACATAATTTTATTCAAAGAAAATTGAATTAAAGAAAAAGAATGAATGACAAGATAAATAGAGATCTAAGTTATTCATCTATCAAAGATCTTTATTTATCTAATTTGAACTGAAGGCATTGAGGCCATTGATGACAACGATGATGGTCCAGAGCTAAGATTGAGCTTATCTAGTTCTTCATCTGCTTTGTTATTCTTAAAATCTTGTTGACAATACAGAAATTTGTTCCATTCGTCTATCCTTGGATGTGCTAAATTCTGTAAATAACAAATAAAAGAAAGTAAACAATTAGCATTAAAGTCAATTTGAATTACTTTTATGTAATTTCATCCTGTAGACAACTGTGCATATTAAATTGCTTTTTTTTTTCTTGCTTAAATTATAATTCAACGTACTATCCATTCAATGTACAATATTAAAAAAAAGAAAGTATTTTATAAATATTAAAAGAATAACGAACAGTTTTGTAGAATAGGGAAAAATTTATCAGCTAACCGACCACTCATAATTTTATCAGTATATAAAATAATTCTTTTATAATTATGTATTTGAATTGTGGAATAATCTGAAATGATAGGATTTGTATTACATTTATTTATAAAAATATGTAAGGTATACACAAGCCAAAGAAGCCTTGTGAATTCTTACGAATAATTCGCACAAAACAAATATTCCAGTTTTCTTCTCAAATAAACTAATTTCGTTTATAATTATTCATATATATATACAAGAATTCCATTTTTCAACAATAAAACACTTGTATTTTGCTCTCAAAGTAAAAAAGTAATTTATTCACGATTATCACGAACGTCAATTTCTTTCTCTTTATCTTTCTTTTCCTTTTGCGTTTTAAGGATCCGTTAATTTATAACTATAAATTTATAACGAGAATAATACCTCGGCTACATCGTAAACCCATATTTTGCCACTGTCGTCGCCCACCGTCACGTGTAGTCCACTCGGGGTCCAAGAGACTCTGTTCAATGCTGGATAACCATTAACGATGACGCTAGCTGCAGGAACTTCGGTATCCTGATTAAGATTCCAGAGATCCAGCCTTCCGGAATCGTCTACAGCCGCGAAGACCGCGGGGTGACTCGGTGACCAGGCTACGTCGTAAACGCAGTCGCTGTTATGTTCAAACGAGTATAATGGCTTACTTTCTTTGAGGCTCCACAACTTGATAGTCCAATCGAGGGACGAGCTGAGGAATAAATGCGAGAAATCAATGCCTCCAGGGACGGCGTGAGTGTCAACCCCTGTAATCGGGCCTTGATGCCCTTCGTAAGTTTCAGCGACGCCTGCTCTTGTGCCATGACGGCAAGCTAAAAACCAATGAACCAATTGAGCTGTTGCTTTATTAAATGACACAACGAAAGAATATTCGTCACGAATATATAAAATATATGATCCTCGAACAGCGAATAAGTGTAACTGACAATAAAATTATATATTTTTAAATGAAAAATTAATAATGTAGCGATACGAATGATGAGCAATGTAATAAAATAATAATATAAATGAAGTTGTCAATTAGCTTCCAAATATACCTCGTAGCTTATATTTATATTCAAATATTATTGTATAAATATATAATATAAAATTACCGGAATATATTGTGCTATCCTCGCTACCAATTACAAAATTATTTACATCTCCACTAGGGAAAGCAAGCTGCGTGACTGTTATCTGTTTTGATTGTTTGGTTAGTAAATCTAATATTTCTTGAGGTTGAGATAACATGTCCAAACTCCAGGAACATAGTTTCCCGTCCGTTGATATGCTGATTAAGTTATGTGCATTTTGGGTTCCAACTACTTTTAAGCAGTAAACTGGATGCTAAAATGAAAAATTATATGCTTAAAATGATTAATATTCAACTCAACTGCTCATACATCTATAAATAAATATACCTAAATATTGTTAAGACTGTTGTATATAAAATATCGTTTAAATAATCCTAAAAATACATACACATTATAAAAGCAGTACATTTTGGTTATTTAAAATGAGTAATGAATAATTCGTATAGTCTTAAGATTAGCTAATAAATTCTCTTTCATATAGTTTTATTGCAGTAACTACTCGTTAAAAATTTAGATTTATTTTCATAAAAGTAAGCTATACTGTTCATGTATGTATTTCAAACGAATTTGCATAAAATTAATCGTATCCTTTAATAAAAAGAAATAACATGAAAATTGGATAAAAGAAAAGAAAAGAAAAGAAAAAAAAATGGCGAATACTTTATTACTCGCACGAACAATATCGATAAATATTGAATTATTAATTAAATCTCCATCGATGAAGTATTCTGTCTGTCAATGTCATCCAATTCCATTTCGCAGTCACCCATAATTTTGAATAATTAAATTAAACGAATAATAATAATTGTCCGATAAACAAATTAATTATGAAATTATTTGATTAATTAGAAAATTTCAGCATAAAACGACAAATTAAATAAATAATTAAACAACGGCATATGAGAAAAACTTGGAATCGGCAACGTAAAGCTCATCAAACAGTCCTGGGCATGCGCAATTTAATAAAATGTGCTTACAGTGTGGGCAGCAGCAGAAAGAGGCGTACGTTGAATAGGCATCCTCTTCTGCACCCTATTGTCCCAAAGCACAACCTGGCCCGAGTAAGTACCGCCGAGTATCAAGTTTGGATGAAACCTGGCAAAGGTCGTGGATGTAACGGATGACTGGGAATGGAAGATGAACTCCGGTGTCGATTTTTTGAACTTGATGTTCCAGACGAGGCAGATGCCATCCGGATCATTGGGCGTGTCGTCGTTGCTGTTGTACGCCGCGGCAAGGAGCTCCGGAAACTGCGGCGACCAATCCATCGACGTTACGCATCGGTTACGTGACCAACGCTCATTGTAAAACACACGATTCAACCAAATACACTGATGGCTTTTGTCGTCCCTGAAACATACGTTGAACCAATTGACGAGTCTTTCATTACTGTTCTACTTGCTGGCATTTATATATCATAATAGATAAAAGGCAATTGTTAATGAATCACAACTTAAATATACTGCATAATTTAAGGGGGAGGGGAGGGATTGGGGCCTGGGGAAGAGGAGGGGGAGGATGGGGAGGGGGGGGGGGGAGAATCCCGCGAATAATTGAAAAATTGTGAATAATGAATAGTTAGAGGAAAACTGCACGTATAGTTAAGTTAATTGACATCACGACCCAAAGTAACATTCGATTTTATTCGATTAATGCAAGATATCTTACATTCCATCATCGCCATCCATTGTTCCTGTATAATCTGTATAAATATCAACAGCTTCACCGAGCGCCCGTTCGACAATTCTGCTGGATCTATCAACAAAACGCTTGAAATCTTCCGATAGAATGATCATCTGCTTTTCTTCTTCGCTGAGTTCACGAACTACTAATACATTGATAAAATTAAATATTTACTTTACTCGTTCCAATTATTTAACATTTATTGAATTATCTAAATTTACAATTACGAAATAAATGATAAGCTGAATTGCTCGAATTTTTGGTAATCACATAACTATACTTTCTCATTCTCAAGTTATCAAGTTTTAAGTGCATTTTTCGAACACTATTCAACAATGTTACAAAATATATGTGAAAATATTTTAACCGAATGATACTTTAATATATTCTAGTGAAATGCGTGAATTTGGAAAATAATTAAATACCAATTACAATAAACAAGTATAAATTTTATTTTAAAATGTAAGCACTTTTTTTTTTTTTTTTTTTTAAATAAAATCAATGAATGTTTTAGTATTCATATGAGAAATCGTTTAAAAACATATTTGGCATAGTACAATTTAAAAGTTAGTTAGTTACCTTGGCCAGTAAAAATTTATAATTTATCTTCGTAATTACCACTTATGATTGGATTCGTAGTTCGCGCGACTTCACTAACCTTCCTTTGGTTTTTCCTTTTCCTTTTCTTTTTCTACTTGAGTTATGGCAGGCTGCACTTCCTTGACCTGGGGCAATCCTTGAGGCAGTATACCAGGAGGCAGTTTGCTTTGGAAACCGTCTAGGTGTGTGAGACTACTGTCTTCATCCTCGACTTGGTCATCGTCAAATGTCAAAACTGTGGTGAATAAGTCGGTCCCGTATACGAACTAACGCCCTACTACTAATTTTTAACAACAGACAGTCTGCAATCCTGACTAACTAACTTAAATCTTGTCAATTGTTACATTTACTAACGAATATCAATGCATTATAATGTGAGTACCGAATGAAAATAAATATTAAATAAAAGTAAAATTATTAGATGTTGTTTGTTCTAACTTTATACACGTGTGTAATTAATTATACTTATTAGAGAAAAATGATATAAATACACTAAACTAATTATATAATTAAAACAAGATATCAATCGACTAAAATCTACGTATAACAAAAAGTTGATCAAAACAAGGTGTCTTGTATTATCCAACTCTTATATTATTTATTTTTTACTGAAGAACATTTGAAATCAATGACATCAAGCTAGTATTACCAAAGAAATACATCACAATGTAAAGTTGAAAGGAAATATTTCTACTTTTACTTCAGCTTATAAAGTATGTAGCTTATATTTAATAGATATGGAACTAAAGCAAACTAGTACTTTTATACGAATAAAATGTAATATATATATATATATATATATATATATATATTAAACATTTTTATTAGAGAACGGCTGTTATAGTTTTATTTACCGAAAAGTCGCAAAATTTCAAATAGTAAAATTCTTCAAAGAGTTAATACTTGTCTTTAACGATTCAATAAAATAAAAAAAAAAAAAAAAAAAAAAAAAAAAAAAAAAAAAAAAAAAAAAAAAAACTCGCAACTTTGAAACTTTAAATCTACAACAGGGTTTCTCATGACGAACTATTAAATTATAAAACAGACTGCTTTAATTTCAATAAACTTTTCACAACATTCATTGGAAAATATTTATTTACATCGAGCAAATAGCAGTTCATGCCTTAAAACCGATCATTTTTTATATTAACGATAAAAGCTTATAAATAAAAAAAAAAAAATCAAATAAACTAATTTTATCTTACTCGTGATATTAAAATATAAAGCATGAGGTGATAATATTATAAGAAAAAGAAATGTGGGGATGTTAACGCAGCTTCCTGAGTCTCGTGACGTACAATGGAAGTGGCAATAATTGGTTACTGCAGACCGATAAAGACTTGCGATTCACAAGCATTCGTATTTGAATGAATGTTTGCATAATTATAACATATTTTCTATATGTAGTCAATTTATTTAATGGAATAACTTTATTATGTACGATAAAAGTGGTTGATTAAAAAAAAAAAAACAAATTCAGGTTTTCAGATATTAGCTATTAATTTATTTTCTTTATTATTATTTTTTTTTTTATTATTTCATTTTGCATTCTACAATTGATTTTTCATGAATTTCCATAAATTTCCACATACAGTTGGTGTGTATGCGTATCTACTTCTGAAAAAAATTACAAATACAAATGCTAATAAAACAGTTTCTTTATCGCGCAGTATCCCCTAAATGCATCAATCGTTTTCGTGATTTCAATTTTTCATTTTTAATTTAACGAAAAAAAAAAATGCATGCTATGAAAAATGAAAATATCAAATTTCGTGTACATTGAGACGTGCAAATTTATTGTGTAATGATAATACGTGTCTTGTTGCAACAGATGCAAAAGAAAAATTAATTAGGTATTATTATAATCTAAAAATTAATGCATAATAAAATTAATTTTCTTTCAAATCATCAAATATTATTCTAACGATATACCCAATAAGAATTATTATAAATGTAAAACAAAAATTATTTCCATTAAATACGGCATGGGGAATAAAGGAAAATCAGAAGCACATGCGTTATATCTTCAGATTTCAAGGTAAATATCATACTTTACTACTATTGCAATGTAAACTATGTCTAATAAAATGTAAAATAACTAAAATTCTAAAAGCTCAAATAATTTAATACGGTTTTATATGCCTACATATACGTAATGCTATCATTTTTTAGTTTTTCCAAATTTTAAATATAAATAATAATAGTAATTGCGAACATGCCCGTATGTGTGCGTGGGGTAATTTAGATAACAATTGTAACCATGCAATTGAACGGCGCGTTGAGTATCCTTATAAAATCACATTATTCTGAGGTGAAATTACAATTGACAATAAAGTGACTTTGAAGTGAAATCTCTTACAATTATCAGTAATCCTCTATGAATATCATACAAGTCACTAGTCCTTATTTCTTATTTTCAAAATAAATAGCTTTTAAGCTTTACATTATACAACACCTTAACCGTACGATTTGTTTGAATGTGAAACAACAGAGATAAAGGAAAGTAAAAAAAAAAAAAAAAAAAAAAAAAAAAAAAAAAAAACTACGTTTATAACAAATGCTTTATATATTATAAAAGTATGAGAATAGTTCTTTTATTTGTTATAAAATAATATTTAGCACGAGTCGTAACTAATAATTACTTTATGGTACTCTGCTCAATCTCTCGGTGTAATATTTATTTCTAATAGTAGCTAATTCCGAATTACTAATAAATTAATAATAAAATGCATGAAAAAGCCTAACGTATAAGTGTTTCTTATTTCACAATTTATAATGAAAGACACGTGAAACCTCGACATTCATTACATAATCGACAGCACAAGTTACCAGACAAAAACAAATCCACAACAATGAAAAAACAAAAAAACATAACAAAAAAAAAACAAAAACAAAAAAAAAACCAAAAGAAAAAATTAAAAACAAGAAAAAACAAAAAAAAAAAAAAATACAATGCCATAAAAATAAATATTAATATGTCGAGTTTCTTGGAGATCCACCTACCTGTAAACTCGTCCTCCCATTCTAAACCAGGGTTTAGATTGTATTCGTCTTGAAGAAAGGAAAAGAAAAAGTCAATCAATTCGAGATCGTAATTTTTCATTTAAGAGATCCTGATTGTTCTCAGCATACTGTCAATGCTCAATTAATACATTGATTTTCCATTGAAATTTTATTAACGCGATTTACAGCTTCCCGGTCGATGATCGTTTTTCAATGCTTGGCTTTATGCAGTTTCAAATGTGCAAAATAATATCAAATACACAAGATAATACGATTACATTTTATTTAATTATACTCTTTGTTACGCTGTTTTACAATTACATTGACACTAAACTGAGATAGCAGGAAAATTAGTTTATTGGTTAAGACGTTACAAAACAAGACTAATTTACATTTTTATATTATATAGAGGGTGTTGTTTAATCTTCATTCTTATTTGTCAATTTTCTAAATATAAAATTTCAATTATCTATTTGCGTAAAAGCAATTAATTTCTAATTATCTTATTAATACTAAACGTTACAATTTATTTAAATAATTCGTCTTCTATGTTACATTTTTACTATAATAAGACGTTGCATGATAGGATTTGACGATTAGCATTATAAAAGCTCATAAGCAGCAAGTTCTCTTATTATATTGAAAATAAAAACATAGACGTAATGCTCATAATATTCTCATAATATTATAATATTAACAATAATAATAATAATATTACAAAATTTTGATGTCAATAAAACAAAGTACAATGCTTACAATTAAATTCAAACAGAAGATAAAGAATGTAAAATTACATTTTAAAATCTTGAACTAACACCCTATATGTATATATAATAGTTAATAAATTCAACCCGCAGAACACATATTGGCATGCAAAAACATATTCCCTGTTTAAAGCAAATTCCATTCATCACTCGACTCTCATTCTTCCGAATGACAAATATTCTGCCATCAAAAGAACGAAATTCTTGTAATAATTGTGTAGAAACAGTTAGCAATTGTGAGTGGTGTAATTTATTAGTAGATTTATTTATAACGGTTAACAAATTTAATTACTGACAATATAGTATTAATATGGTAGCTTTCTCTTACACATAAACATTAAGTGCTCTGAACTAAAAGAACTCTAATTAAAAAATGCCGCTTTAAAATTTTAATAAGTGTAATACAATTTTACTATAATTTTATAATAAAAATTAAATAAACATTAACCTTCTTTCGTCAATTCAATTTTATATGTAAAATCTTACATCTAATAAGCTCACAAGACTAAGTTTATGATTAATATAATTTACAAAACTTCCTTGACAGTGTAAAGATGAAATATTTATTGAATAATTAAACGTTTCATCGATCAAGCATTATCGTGCATTCGTATCAAGCAAACCACGTTAAAATTAATTTAAAATAATAATTTAATATTAATAATGAATGACAAATAAATAAAATCTCATTAATATATTAATGATTTCAAACAAATTTTTCATATACTATAAATAGAAAGAAGTATTACTTCGATATTACAAAAATTATTTTTTTTTCTTAGCGATAAAGTAATATATAATAAAAATTATCATATTTATACATTAATTCTTATTATATAAAATTTAAATTAAGCGTGTTTCAACTGATGGCTGATTGAATTTTTCAACTTTCATAAAATTTGGTTTTTAAGTGCCCCATTCATAAAATGTGCCAAGACATAATTACGTATATAGTAAATTTTTCCAAGAATAAGAGTTTTTTTAATCAAGCCAACACCCAATAAATGATCTGCGTTCAGAGTTAGTACAAATACCCTCACCATGACGGTTAGATTTTCATATTCGATATTCCATAACATTGATTTTACACAAGTAGACGTAAGAAATGTTGAGTACTCTGGAAGGTGCGTTAAGTAGTGACAAGAGTTACTTTTATATAGAAATTTCTTAAAGCGATCAAAAGAAAACTGTTTTAAATTTATGTTCAAGTATTATCGTACTTATTTATTGCTAAAATTCATTTTGATTAAATTAACAAAACATTAAGAATGCAATGTTCAGATAATAGATTTAGAAATGTTTTGTAGTTTATTAAAAGCTATTAAAATAGTTAAATTTTTAATGGTTTTATAACATCCAATTATGGCACAATTTTGAAAAAAAGAATTTACTTATACAATCAAAATAGTCAGAGAAAAAAACTATTGGTTAATTTTTAAAGATTTTCTAATTTTATAATTAACGCATGTAAAACGCAATTCACTTTTGTAAAATTTTCAATGTTTAAGTTTCATTTTTTCATAAATATTAATACATGTGAACATTATTTTACAATTAAAATGACTATTATCTTAAATTTCTTTCCTATAGTATTTAGTTGTTATTTATTTTTAAGCTTATTTAGAGACTATTATTCCTTTTAACTATTTCAAACTATAGAATTTGTCAATATAACTTAATGATATAATATAATATTAATGTAATGAAATATAATAAAACTAACTTAAAGTTAATAATTATTATTTCTTGATTAAAATACTCATTTTTAATATTTATTTTTTAATTTACTGTCGTATCATTATAAATACAACCAAAAATATATTTCCATCTAATATAAAAGTATTTTATAAAATAATATTCTTCTTATAATAAATGACACACACGCGCACACGCACGCACGCACACACACACACACACACACACACACACACACACACATCATCATCATCATAATAAATAAATTAAATTACATAATACAAATAGTTAAGATTATTGGACGAAAGGAGAATTATAAAGAAAAACTAAAAAAGAGCGAATACAGCTTAATTTCAAATAATCATTAAAATTTTGCAGTTTAAACTAAAGATTAATTTTTTGACAGATTTGGTTCTTAATTATTATTATATTGAATATTAAAAATCTACAGTTTGAAGATTAGTGAAAAACACAATACAATAAATTTTAATTGCATTATAATGATACAGTTTTATTATATTTATTTGTTATTTTTATTATAACTATTTAAATTTAAATATTTTTTACATTCAAATTTATTAAATATTTACACTTTTTATTATGGTTCGTTAAAAATTCTATATTCTATTTATTATTCATAATGATTATTGTCATTGACAAAATTAAATAGTATATCTTTCTATTGAAAGTTAAAAGAAACTTTATATGCAAAAACGGCATTTTAGATAATGAATTTTGTTTGCTGTTACGTTATATTAGAAATAAAAATTTATACGTCTACGAATTTATGACATGAGTTATAAACATTTATTTCAGGCTAAGATATTAAAGAAATAATTGTTTCATTATAAAATTATATAGTAATTTATAAAAAGATTGGTAAGAAGCTACGATTGGATATTTACGAATAGATCATGACAATTAGTTTATTAAAATTTTATTAAGTATAAAAATTTATAATTTGAAAATATAGTAAAGTAAGTCTGAAGCAATTATTTATTGAATAAATATAAACATAGTAAATTTGATAAAAAAAAAAAAAAAAAAAAAAAAAAAAAAAAACAGTTTAATGATTTTTACGAAGCTAATTAAATATTGAAAGATATTTAAAAGAATGTTTGAAATAATGATTATGCCATGTATGTTAAATTTTATAAATATATTATAAATCGGACTCCAATGGAAAATAGATGTGTAATAAAATTTTTAATTTGAAAATAATGTATTACATATTTTTTTTTTTGTTTTTTTTTTTTTTTTTTTAATAAACACATTCCCGAGAATCGTAAATTTCTGTAAGTTAATTTCAATAAATATATTTGTACAGTTAACTTCTATTTTTATTAAATTTAAATATTTGTTTAATAGTCTTATATTATTACGCGTATAAATTCTATTTATTGTAAATATTTTTAAAGACTTTTGAACACTAAATTTTACACTCTAACCTACATTTACCTAAATCCTTTGTAGAATATATTTAAATACGTAGTATTTTCTTTATATTCCTTGATTAAGCGTCTAATAAACTTGTATAAATATGTAACAATTATATTCCATTCGTTGACTCTCACTTAACAAAATAATAATAAATTCTATTGTTATAACGTAGCTACATAAATTCTATCTCGTCATAAAACAATAAAATATAGCTATGGTATTCATTGTGCGAATTTTAATTTTCAATTTAACAATACTATAATTTCTAATGATAAAATATATATGATTAATATATGATTATAGCTATATAAATAAACTATAAATAATGAGTTTAACTTCCTATGAGTAACTATTTCGAGCTTTATTATATTCGGTAAGAAGCAAAAAAATGTGTGACTTACCGTAATAGTCAAATGCATGAGCTGAGAAGGACAAGCAAAAAATTGTATTTGATTAGAATCCTTTTATCAGCGCACATTACGTTATTAGTTACTTCTACATTCAATGTATATTCATATATAATTTTTTATATGTTTTATCTCGTTGAAAAATGTGCAAGATATATCAAATGCTTGTTAAATACAGACAATCAGATATTACTTATTCTGATTTTCTGAAGTATTTATTATATTACAATTAAATACATATTTGATTTTATTTGACTTAATTTTCATACATTGAATGTAGATTAAATAAATAAAAAAGTGCAAATATTTTTGTTTACTTATTATTGTGCCGGAATAAAATCAGTACTTCGGAGGAAAAGTACGCATTGAATATCAATATAAATATATATATATATATATATATATATATATATATATAACAAATATGATATAGTTCCTCCGAGGTGCAAATTTTTAATTTAACTTGTAATAATAAAACATAAAATACAAAAAATGTAAATAGCTTTTTCTGCTGTTATTCGACCCTCATGCTGTAATACCATTATAGCAAAAACATTTGCGCATGCATTGACACTCCGACAGTGAATTGTGATGACTCAACATCCAACTTTTCTTCTTTTATTTTACTTTAGTCTTCCACTTATGAATTATTATTGTATTTTATCTCATACACGTAATATTATTATATATTTAACAAAAAAGATTTTAGCCGTTGAACGGTGTATTTTTATACATACTTCAATATAGGATGATTTCAATATTCAATAATAATACTAATAATAAGAGCATAAATAATAACAAGAATAAATATTCATTGTATAAATTTGGTTTAAATTTTTTTTTTTAAAATACTTTTCCAAATCGTACTTATATTTTTATAATAATCAAATAATAAAAAATATTTAATTTAGTACATAGCCACACTCATCGTCAGATAAATTTGCATATTATTAAATTAAATAATAATTCCAGTTATGTTTTTACAAATATAATTTTAAATTGAAATATTTAAATAAATAAAACAGTATATATTCAAAATCAATTATTGTTTTTAAAAATATATATCTTTTTCATTTTGATAATTTATGACAATTATTTATAAATACCATACCATTTTATATACCATTAATGCTTTATGATGATCATCAGCTTTTTTCAAAGATATTTTACTATCGTTTGATTTTAATCAGATGTCACTTATTTGATTTTTGTGTTTAACAAGTTATGAGTTGGTATGAACTGCATTGTTACCATAAAACATTAATAAAATATATCAGATTAAAGTCTGTTGAAGTTGTACAAAAATATACGATTTACCTATTTATCATAAAATAAGTATTTCAAATGTTCATAAATGATGAAAGAATATCTTAGGATTTTGAATCATGATAACAATCTAGTAATTGCTCAAATAATACAGTCTAAAAGTTTAATATATCAATTTCATGTAACAATCACTTTCCAAGATTATTTTTTTGTATACAGAAGTTATAATATAATCTACCTGTCTACTATATTCTGCCATCAATTTTATTTAGAAAAGTTTATAGTTGTCTCTGTAGGTTATATTCATACGTATCAGTGTACATTATGAAAATATTATAATAATTTACTAAAGTTAAAATTTATGTAAATTAAAAAATAATTTTTTATTAAATATTATTTGTAATCAAGGATGAAATAAAAGTGAAATTCAATGAAATTTAAAGTTTTCTTATCCTCAAAGTCCAATTTTGATTAAAGCTAAATGATTGTCATATTGTTGCATAAAACAAATAAGTTCTTAAAATTGTTACTTTAAACATTGTTATTGAAAATATTGTCCATTTCGTAGAGATAGATTTTGATTAATACATTGTAACGGTTATCTTTTTTATTCTAAATTATTGATATTAACTTCAATATAAATTGAATGTTTATTTAAAAATTTGTTAAATCTACAATTTTATCATACAATTCTTTAAATCTGTATAATTATATAAATTATTAATCGATTATTAGAGAATATAGCACATATATATTGTAAAAACCTAAAAAGTGTTTGCAAATGTTTAAAATTAATTAATGATGTTTATTTATTTAAAGTGTTAAACTAAACAAAAGTCTATCGTTGACAGACCGTTCTCTCGATTTATTTCGAATTATTTTGCATTTGAATAATTGGAAACTAATAACTGTATAGAATTGTAAGTATTAATCTATTATAGTAGATTTGAAAGCAATGTATAATAAATTTGAAATCAATAAATATAAATATATATAAGTTTATTTATTTGTGTTTCATATCTTTCATGTGACGTAAATGATCGATATGTGATCGGTAAAAAAACTGTATTATATTCCAATATTCTTAAATAAATTCATTCATATATTTAATTGTCTAATAATCAATGTTATCATTCAAAAAGTTTATTATTTTTTCATCACTTATGATATATATATATATATATATATATATATATATATATATGTGTGTGTGTGTGTGTGCGTGCGTGCGTGTGCGTGTGCGTGCGTGCGTGTGCGTGTGCGTGTGCGTGTGTGTGTAGATGTATATATTTTAAAAATAAATATTGTAAATCATAATGTAATTATATATGTCTATGTATAGTTAATAAATCATAGTTTAGTAATATATATTTATATATACATATCTCTGTATATAATTATTATGTATGTATGTATGTACTATAAAAATTTTAATTATAGCTTAATAATAAATATGAGAATTTCATAATTGTATTTCAATCAGCTAATTTTTTCCAAAATTAAGTTGATATTTCTATAATAAAATTTGTAAAACAATTTGTTAATATTGATTTCAAGCTTGGCTTAAATTTTTTAAAATTCACATATATTTTTGTTTCGTACAAAAATTAAGATTTTGAAGGAAAAATCACCAGAATGTATATCAGAAAAGAAAAAAAATGGTGCACTTATTTAATATAATAAAGACCTTGTCACACTTTTACCCACCCCCTAAGTTACTCCAGCATTCATGTGCCATTTTCATAAACACTGATTAACGAATTTGCAAAAAAATTCTTTTGCACTGTTGTTAATTGGACGCTAAACTGACTTAGCGAGGTGAGTACATAATTTTTTAGATTTAAACTTTATTAAACCTTTAAATCCTTTCATTAGTAAAAAAAATGTGTGACGACGAAAACGTGATTCGTATTGTTAGCAACTGAAGGCTTTTGACAGTAAAAAAACAAAAAATTAATTTCTAATAATTCTAGATACCAATGTACATAAAAAAAGTTTGGGTTACCAAATGAAAAGTAATCATTTTTATAATAAGCGATTAAAAACATAAAACAAGCTTTGATAGTAGATAGTGCATTCGATTCAATAAAAATAAGTATAGAAGAAGAATCAATATTTCGATTGATATTTCATATTAAAATAAAAATCCAAAGCTAGAAATAGTTTGAATATTGACTTTTTTGTAACGTTAATTATAAAATTATATTTTTAATTTATATTAATTATTTTAATAATATGACATGAATCTTTTTAAGTGTAATACATTAATTAAGCGAAAAATAAAAATTTAAATAATAAAGAATATATATTCAGTTCAACAAGATTATATGAAAAAAAAAAAATATATATATATATATATATATATATATATATATATATATATACATACGTAGATATAGAGTTTTATTGTTACGCGAAACGTTAGAAAATATAAAAATATCCTGATGTCTTTTGTTATTGTATTCCCTTCATTTATTTTAAAATTCATCATTTTTGTATTTTAAATTTGAATGAATGTCTAATAAATTACAAAGATAACTTTGCAGAAATAGTTTCTATCAGTCAAGGAATTAGAATATAAGCTTTATAAAAAAAAGTAATAAGCAATAATAATGTTACCAAAATTTGATTTACAATAAACAATGTGTAAAATTAAAATTCATTGATATAAAAATCGCAATTTCATTATTTTAACTTATATTTCTATTATTTAGGAAAATATTTTTAAAATATATTTTTATAGTGTGAATATAATATTTTAATCGAAATATTGAATTTTTTCATATATGTAACTAAGGCCCGAAACAAAATTAAAATAAAGTGTCTATATTACCAATCGCATGTGCGCAGTAGATTAAAACAAAAATTTATTAAGCAATTACGCAGTTTGAATTATTAAAGCACCCAATATATTCCACTAAGAAATTCGGTGATATTAGTAGAAAAACTGCAATGTTAATACTAAAGTATAAGCAATTACTACGTTTAAAGAAAAGGACAGACTAGCGAAGGAACAATTTCCAGTCCAGGCCAGTAACTTAATGAGATTTAATATTTTAATTTCTAAAATTAAAATAAATTCACTTCAGATAGAATTATTTATTGTCAATTGCTAACTCAAAATGAAAAATTTTTGTAAAAAACTTCCTGAAATTCTCTACTAGAACATATTTCGAAGAAGTTAATAAATTACAAGATTTGTTATAATATAAATATCCATGTGTGTTTATTATCAATTTTGTAATTTTAAATAATTTTACAAAAGTCATTTTTCTAATATTAAAGTGCATAAAGTTAAGATTTCCCAAGTTAATTTTTTACGTATTGTATATAATTTTGTAGCTGATTGTAGAAAGGACACGACTATAACTATTTGCAAATTAAAAATCTGAAACAATGATTTTTTTGAACACATAAATAAGTAATATTCATAATGATATGTAAATTTAATTGTAATTACAGGTAAGTACAAGCTGTCAAAAAAATAATAACAATTGCAATGAACAACGGAAAAAATATGTTCAAAGAAAATCAAGGCAATGCAATTGCCGTCCATGTTTTTAATTATTAGAATTATTAATAAATATTGAAGGAGAAAGTATTATTTTGCATGAATCCACTCACTTTACGTTTAAACTTTACGTTTAACTCTACGTTGTTAGTATGCTAGGGTGTAGTTGGCAACGTAACCGCGTCTGAATCTTAATGAGGCTGGACTAGAAATACTTCCGTCACCAGTTGTCGTAGTATCAAAATGCATTTCAATACTTAATACACTACCATTGATAATATCAGAAATAACAGAAATACGGTTAACAATGTGAAAAGAAGACGAAACATACATAGGTAGTTAGGTGTAGACCCACCTTTCCTGGGACGCCACCAGTCGGTCTCAAAGTAGCCTGCGGAGCAAGAATGAGTTGGTGTTGATGTTGAACAGGAGGAGTAGATGGTGTATATGGAAGAGGAGGCGGACAGTCCTTTACATTGTCCAACACCAATAGTCGCATTTTGATCGTGATTCGTAATCGCAAGACAAGGGAAGAGACGCATTTGTATATTTCAATTACAAAAGAAATGTTCATAATGAAAATGTCAAGCGACCTTTTATTCATTTATGGCTGCTTTCGTTTCGTTTGAATCCACATTGTTATGGAGCTTTTTTGCCATAATCTTTTAAGTTTCACATTGATTCATAAAGTTGCAATTACTTGAGTTAACTTGTAATTAGGAATTATGGGCTTCTGTCTCAAACGGTATCTTTACTTGTCAATGGCGATTTTTAGTAGAGTGACAATACTATTTACGTAGTTAGAAAAACGTGTAAGTTGGAAACACAACATTTCTGTGACTAAATCAACAAGACACTCCTCATTAACGAATGATCTAATATTTATTTTAACAATAAAACAAAAATGATTAAGTTAATATTAATTACAAAATAACAACGTTAATTATTAATTAATTGTTAATTAATATTAGCCAGCATGTCGATAAAAGAAATAAAATAAAGTATTTAATATCTACATACATTTATTTAAATCCTAAATACACGTAATGTGCAAAGTTAATCTAGTTGATTTACTCATTTGCATTCATTTTTTTATAAAAGGGAGTTGTGATGGTTACAGATGAAATTGTCGTTAAAATTATTCAGGCTTTATATTGTGCTAATCCCTCTGCCATTTCCTTTTCCAACTTTCACCATCTCATTACCGTGCATGTTATGCGTAATTTATTAAATGACATAATTAACCCTGTTAATTACCGTTTACTCTGACATCAAATAAATTTAACGAATCATTGTAAATACAAAACAAACTTAGATGGGTAATAATCTACGTTTCCGTGACAAAGTTAAATTACAATTTATGTAATTTATGTATACACTAGCACGTCCAAATTTAAAAAAAATTAGACAACAAAAACATATGACTGATAGGAAATATAAGTATCATAAAACTTATAAACAATTTTCTACGCTGTTATTAGCATAATAAAATTAAAAATGTCAAATATAAATCATTATAATTATACAAAAGTAATAAGGGACGAAATTTTTCCAAACAATAATATTTCCTAATAATATTTACATTTCAATAATTTAATACGATTCCATATGCATACAATTAAATATATCAAATTTTAATATTTTTTATATGTACATTTAAATTTAAGATTACATTTACACAATTATTTTGTTGTCTAATTTATTTGAAATTTAATTTAGTAAAGCTATGCATTATGTTTGTTTTATAATGTCAAAAGTTATTGTAAAAAAATAATATTTTATAGTAAATAATCATCGTAAGTAATAAATATTCGTAAATTGTAAATTGAACTTAAATTATTAATTCTGTTAATCATTGCTTTTCGTTAGACTTATTAAAACACAAAATTAAGTTTTTAAATCTTTGAAGAAATAATAATTGTGTATTATGAATTGAAACGTCATACATAATTTGATTAGGACATTTTTAATTATTTATCAGATATACTTAGTTGATTTTAGTGAAACAAAAATAAGTAATTAAAAAACATGCGCCATTGAAATTTATTCTTGCAAATAAATAATGTAGCCTTTATATTTTATCAATGATCGTTTTAAAATCATTTTCATTCGTCTCATTTATAATTTAAAAATTATTCATTCTTAAGTAAATTATTTTTTTGTAAGTTCTACATTAATTTTTGCAGATTAAGAATAACCTTTTTGTAAATATGTAAGTTTCCTCGCTGATAAAAAATTCTTTTTATAAAATTGATGATAATAATAATATCAAGTAATTGGCAAATACGATACATTAAATATAGCAAATAAATATATTCAATTGAAAAAAATTATTTCATATGATCTGTAACTATTTGTAGTAAAACAGGTAAATTATTCTCTCAATGATTTTAATTTAATACTACAATGAAAACTACAATCTATCAATACAAGAAATTTTTTTTCATAAATACAAAGTGAGTATTTTGTCAAGTTATAATTATAATGTAGAAAAAAATTATTGTATATTTATGAAATTTAAATTTCTGAAAAATGTTTAAACGCTTTATGAATAACATTAAATAATTTAATAAACAGTTCATTTCGTTCATAAGTTTGACTAATCATATCAACTACATTTCTATAATTTTTAATTGCAGTTTTCATTACAAAGAATATTTTTTTAGTAATTATGTTATATTATTAAATAATATTGGAATTTAGATGAAAAATTTCCTTAAAATGAACGTTAATGACAATCATTACAACATAATTAATAGTTTTTCAACAGTAATAATTTTACCTTTAAAATGTAACCTTTTCTATTAAATCTGAACATACAGTACTATAAGAAATAAAAAAAATTATTACTTAATTTATACACTACTAAAATTGTTAACAAAATGTATAAAGACAATTTTCTACCGTACACAATTATTGCTATAAGTTATCATTATTTATCACCATTCATTTACTTAATTCAAATTTTTCCATAAATCACATTTTCAAAAATCAAGCGCATAAAATAATATTAAATTCACGTAAAGTATTAAATAATATTAAAACAATATTAAATTTAAGTAAAATATTTTCAAAATTAAATTTTGAAAATCGTAATATAATACAACTTTGTCCTTTACATTTATTTGATTTAAAAGAAATATAAAAGTATAGAATACCTGAAATTTAATTTAAAAAAATTATATTTTGTGAAGTTTATTTAAAAATACTTTTATAGTACAATTAAATAATTACTGAGTATTATTAAGAATTTTTTAAAGCAATTGAATACAACTTTTGTTTCAACTTCATCATGTTTATTAGCAAAAATAAAAGGTTTCATTTAATAAGTAAAAACTGCCTGTAAAATTAATATGAATATATTTATAATACTAGTTATATTTTTTAATTAATATTGCCTACTTGAGAGAATATTATTAATCATTTATTAAAGGATTTTTACGTTTATAATATAATCCAAATTATGAAAAATGTATCATGCTTACAATTATTATATAAAATACATTCTTACTCGAAGATACTTAATTCATGTATATATATATATATTATTCATTGGATATGTGCATTATCATTTTTTATTATTTGGTATATTATGTATAAATATAGATATTTATGTATGTATGTATGCATGTGTTATGTATGCATATATAAATATATGCAAGGGGTGTGTATATGAATGTATATTAAATCAATATAATTATAGACAATGTTTATAAATGATCTCATATTAATTTTATAATGATGTAGTATTGATAGTTAAGCAACAGGATATTATATTTATAAAAATATTTAATATTCAAAGTTATTATTTTATACAAGTTGAGTCAACATTTATCGATCTCAATATCAGTATGCAGATAGTAGAAATAATTAATAAACGTTAAAAAAGGTTAAGTTAGATACATGGATCAAATAAATTTTTACATCGCTCTCCTCTGTAATGGTAGGAGGTGAATATTGAGATATGAATATAAGGTGTATGTAGTAATATCAATTAATGTCAAAGACATTATGAAGTCGTACTCACCGTCATTACTCGCGTTAACAGCATGTGCCGTTTGGGTTTGCTTGGCATACACAACTTGTTCTTTGGGTGGAATATCCGTATGGGCTACTGATACTACGATAAGATCACGATTCCTTTTTTTTGGTACGCTGCATATTCGGATATCATAATTATTAAAAATAAAACATATTCACTATATTTATAAAAGCTATTTTGTTCAAAAAGCAATTTGGGTGGTAGAAGTTATTATTAGTCTTATTGGTTAAAATATATTGTTTCACATTGATTTATATATCTAATATATAATATATATAAATATATATATATATATATATATATATATATATAATTATCAATAAAAATAAATATAAGAAAATAGTTAATAAAACACATAATTAAAACAGTGATATTACATTTGCATTATAAATACACTATTTGTATTTTATAAAATAGAATATTTTCATCGCTAGTCTTTTTATTAATAATTTAATAGCTACTATTCTTTTCATAATTTCATCTTTAAATCGATAATTTCTCACAGTTCTTTTATATTTTATGATATTTACGGTTACTGCTTTCATAAAAGTACAGCAAGCGAGTTACTTAAAATTTAAATAAATTCCATTATATTACATGCACTCTTCATCCACCCAATACATTTTTTTTAAATAAAAAATACAGATCTTTTTTACCTGTGGGCAGAACTAATACTACTTGGTTGTAAACTAGTATCTGGAGTAGCAGTAACACTATGTTCCGGAGTAGCTATGGAGTTTATACTGGATAAACTCGATAGTACCTCTGCCGGAATAAATGAAAGGTGGTTACATACAGATAAATATGATAAAAGTGATTTGTATTACCTGAGACTGGAGCAACACCAAATGACGACAACAGTGCATCAACTTCTTTTTGTTGGTCCTTATTCGTGCTTGAAGCACGAATTCTGGCCTCCTCGACCTGATATTTATTTTAATCGATATTTAATAAATACAATCATAACATTTTATATTAGATATAAAATTAGATATTAATAATTACATCTTTTTGCTCCTTTTCTCTTCTCCTCCTTTCTTTTTCTTCTCTGATAGCTTGGAGCTTAGCTTTTTTTCTCTCTAGTTCTGCTTTCCTATCGGACATCATGTTTTATCGTACCTAAGTAATTAAGAATTAAATATTAATGAAAATAATTTTCGTACAAATTTACCAAGTTAGTTAAATTTTCTTACCAATGGTATGTTACGATTATTGTCATGAAGCGAATCACAGAAACATTAAAATACATACAAATTCAATGCGTAAAATGAAGCCAAGTAACCAATTTTTCAATAAAACTTAACCCATTGGATGAGATGAATTCAATAAAGTATGGAATGTATATTAAAATATTTGACGAAGTTATTAACGACTACGCTTAAGACTATATGAAAAATTCAAATCTACAGCATAAACAGAAAAGTGTGTTTGGTACGATATTCCCAGAGGGAATTGATTTGTCCAGGCGAAACTAAGGTTAAGTCGGTTTAAGGCTGCTTGAAGAATAATCGAAATTTACACAACTATTGGTAACCTGTTAATTCTATTTTTTCAACAGAACACATTATCGATTCGATGTAAGCACTAGTGATATTATTACTCGCTGATGTTTTGACACAATCGCTAGTCTATTGAGAATTAAATGCAAAGTGTTGGAGAGTTAATTAATTATTGGCCGTCGGAGCTTGGCTGTCTACATTTGGTGTAGGAATATTTTGTCGGAAAGACGAAATCTATGGGAATGAAAAGGTAAAGCCGCTGGTCGGTCGGTAGGTAGGTAGGTAGATGGGCGGGTGGGCGGGTACGGCGGAGGAATAAAGAGGAGGAAGGGGTGGATAGATGGGGCGCGAAGCTAGTCGCATGGGGTATATAATTCCGCAACTAGTGAACAATTTGAGTAGTCATAAAAAAAAAAAAAAAAAAAAAAAAAAAAAAAAGAAACATTGTTTGACGCACCTTTCTCGGCACGACGTGCCGCTACGCTCCTCGACGAAGGCTCGCTCGCCAGGGACGTTTTTTCTTTTCTAACGGTGCAATAGCAGCGAACTTCTTGAAAATGGTGAGGCGATAGAGCGAGGATAAGAGAGGGTGGAGGGGGTATTGCGATGGCGGGTGGGGGGTGGGGGATTCAGAGGGAGATAGTCCGTCCGAGAGGCGAGCCGCCCACTTTTTAGATTCACGTTCCCCTGACCGCAGCCGCCGTCTAAGGCAGTATTATTGCACACCGTATTTGCGTTTTCGTCCCGTCAAACCTTGGCGCCACCCGCCGCTCCGACACCAAAGACTCGTTTAAGATTTAGATGACGAAAGCCTGCATGATAAAGCGCGCCAATGTATCCGTCTCCCAGTTTCCATCTCTTTGAATAGTCGGGCAGCGGGTGTATTATTCGCACACATTAATGGAGCGAGACTAAAAAAGGCGAATAAACGAAAGGACGAGAGATTATGTTATCGTCGCCATATTTTGCTTGACTCGGTCCCGATTCGCAATGCCAAGGAGGATCTATGGTGGATTGGATTAGCGTGCAGCAAGTGTGGACGTCTCGGGCCGATTTCATGATTTTGCGCAGAGAGGCCGAGAGACGATTGGTTATTGCATGCAGGCGGCGATTATTTTGACTATAGTAGGGACGGCCTGGAAAAACGAAACTACCATTCCTTATCCCCAGGCTCGCGAGATGCGAGTCTGCTAATCCTATACTCTTAATTCATCATCGTTATCTTTTTTTTCTATTGTCACATGACGGGTAAAACATCCCTTCTCTCTCTCTCTCTCTCTCTCTCTCTCTCTCTCTCGCTCGCTCGCTCTATCTATATATATATCTATATATATATATATATATATATATATATATATATATTTTTTTTTTGTTATTCATTTATTTATTTATCAAAGACCAATATCCCTGATATATACATAAAAAAATTTCTCTTCAATATACTTAATATTGATTTACATTTGGCAAGTTGAACTTCTCTATATTTAACACAAGTGCAAGTAATGACACTTGACTACATTATTAACAGGCATTAACATCGTTTCGAGTACCAGACTTTTCAATAAATAACTTCGTCACAATAAATATAAATATATAATAAATATAAATTACATTTATTATTTTATTCATTCTTAAGATTTACAAAATATGCATAAAAATTAAATTGAAATGTATTTTTTTAGATAAGTTTGTGTGCAAACTCAAAAGCGACATGTTTTTCTTTTACAATATTTATCATAATTATTATGATACATTCCACATACAACAATGAACTAACATAATCGTTAATTGTATATTTACATTATAGGAAATTTAAACAGTTTAAATTATCGTTTTCATTACTTACCACCAGTACATTTGTACTTAAAATAGCATCAACACTGCTGTACATTTTCTAATTATATATAGAAAGTTGAATTTTAAAACTAAATGTGGAAATATTCAAAGTTGATATAAAAATGGTTTATAAAAATAATTTCAAATTTCCTGTGTATTCGTATATTAATAAATTTGCATAATTTATTATTATTTAAAATAAACTGTCATCTTTAAACTGCAGAATATTACATTTGATGTTTATGGTTTATATGTAATTGCTATTTAAGGATTTAAATTAAATTTAATTTAATGAAAAAAGATTGTCTTTTAACTGTATACTTTTTTTTAATGATTACTCAAGATTATAAGGCACACATAAAAATAAATATTTTTTAGCAACTCTATCTTAATACTTATTTTATTGTTATTAATCGGGGAAGTAAATATCTGTTGAATATTTTTTCTTCAAATTCATTGTTGTATAAGTTTTTTCTTTTTTCTTTTTTCTTAAACAGGGTATATGAATTTTTCATTTCTATAGAATTTTGAATATTTTAATAAATTTGATGGCATAAAAAATTTACATATTTTTATAAGTAAAACATAATTATTTATTTTGGAAATTTTTATCTTAAAGAAAGAGAAGTTAGCATTATTTTATTGAATTTAGTGGCATTTTATATTTTATAATTTTACTTCCAACTCCTTTAAAGGTGTTTTCACAATATAATACAGTAAATATACACAATATTATTTCCAATTAATATAGTTAAATTCTTTTTTAAAATTAATTACGCTTAAAAAAAAAAAAACAGTGTCCTATTAAAAATAATGAAAGCCTAACTTGTTTCTTAATTTAAAACGTGCGATAGATATTATAAATAATTGCAACTAAAAGCTGCTTTAGAAGGGAGATCAAATTGCTACTTGCAATCTTTAATTGTATAAAGTTAATTACGTAAATATTAAAAATTATATATTAATTGGAATTGTAATTTAAATCGAATATCATGATTCTCATTATACATAATTTATGCATAATTTATATACATAAATATGGATATATCATAATTTATAAATTTTGATGTTGATAAATATAAATATAATTATTCAGAACACTGATTTAGGGTTGGAGGGGATACGGTAATAAATACTTTTTAATAGTATGGTACATTATAATATATTTATATATTAAGAGAAATGATTGGAGAACATTGTGGAATTGAGAGTTGGCGAATGTCAAAAATTTGTCGAAAAATTAATAATAGAAGAGCTGAAGTGTCAATGATATGTACATGAATACGTACAATGAATGTTCGTCGTTCTTATTGTGTTCAACTTATTTAAGGCATATAAAATTAATTTTTAAAATAAAAAGTCAATATCAATAATGCATAGTTAGTATTATTAACAATTAATTAATTGCTTAATTAAGTACCATTATTGTAAATAAATATTATTAGACTAAATAGAGTTATCGATGTTGAGATCGATTGTTTCACTACACACTACTTTTTCTTGTATAATGTATCGATTGTTTACAAATTTCATAAACAAAACTGTGGAGTTATTAGAATAAGTCAAGAAACAAAGATGAAATATAAATTATAAGAGAATAATAGAAACAAACCTAAGAGTTCTGGCTAATTTTTGCTTTTACGATGTTTGAAAATTTAATTGATCGTACGAAGAAATTCTTATTAGGATTAGGAACATCAAGTAAAAATTCAAAATTTTGTAAATATTATGGAAATGTTAATAACATATTCATTATAAAATAATTGATATGGTCTTTTATGCTACTATTTTTACATTAATAATTTTACATTTACACTTTTTATTAAAATGAAAAAATGGATTTGTATATACAAAGAAAATTCTATACAAATATATTAAATTATATCCAATAGATTGTAATAAAAAATAAAAAAAAAAAAAAAAAAAAAAAAAAAATTTTGCTCGTATAAAGTATTTTTATTTTCTTAAACATTAAAGATGAATATAAGAAATTTATTTAATTTATGCATCTACGTGATCAAACAAATCTAAGTGGTTTACATAAGAAATCAAATATTTTCTATTTATGATTATGTTTTCTCCTTAAATTTATTCTTTCATTGTAATCGTACATTGATTCTGCAGCTTAACTCAATACAAATTCTTTCCATACGTAATAGTTTTTTTACAAAATTTTATCAATTCTAAATAGATATTAATATAATTATAAAGAGAATAATCGATTGACATATAACGTAATTTTGTTCAACATACAAAATATATAAAATACAATTGAAAAAATGTACTTCCCAATGAATTATCAAAATTCATCATTTATTCATTCGAACGTATAGGTAAAAAATTGTACCAAAAAAAATTAAATGATTTTTTGTAAAGCCGTGATCCATCATATTATTGATTACAATATATCTTTTTTATTATTTAATTTAGATAGATATTTGTGAACAGGATTGGAGAACAAGTCACGATTCGTTTATGGCTATTGGGAATTCAGTTTAACTTCAAATTTCAGATTAGATGATTAAAGAAAAACAGTGAAATAAAGAGGGGCGGGAGATATAGAGAGAGAGTGAGAGTGAGAGAGATAGAGAGAGAGAGAGTGAGAGAGATAGAGAGAGAGAGAGTGAGAGAGATAGAGAGAGAGAGAGTGAGAGAGATAGAGAGAGAGAGAGTGAGAGAGATAGAGAGAGAGAGAGTGAGAGAGATAGAGAGAGAGAGAGTGAGAGAGATAGAGAGAGAGAGAGTGAGAGAGATAGAGAGAGAGAGAGTGAGAGAGATAGAGAGAGAGAGAGTGAGAGAGATAGAGAGAGAGAGAGTGAGAGAGATAGAGAGAGAGAGAGTGAGAGAGATAGAGAGAGAGAGAGTGAGAGAGATAGAGAGAGAGAGAGTGAGAGAGATAGAGAGAGAGAGAGTGAGAGAGATAGAGAGAGAGAGAGTGAGAGAGATAGAGAGAGAGAGAGTGAGAGAGATAGAGAGAGAGAGAGTGAGAGAGATAGAGAGAGAGAGAGTGAGAGAGATAGAGAGAGAGAGAGTGAGAGAGATAGAGAGAGAGAGAGTGAGAGAGATAGAGAGAGAGAGAGTGAGAGAGATAGAGAGAGAGAGAGTGAGAGAGATAGAGAGAGAGAGAGTGAGAGAGATAGAGAGAGAGAGAGTGAGAGAGATAGAGAGAGAGAGAGTGAGAGAGATAGAGAGAGAGAGAGTGAGAGAGATAGAGAGAGAGAGAGAGTGAGAGAGGAAGTGAGAGGAAGTGAGAGGAAGTGAGAGGAAGTGAGAGGAAGTGAGTGGAAGCGCGAGGAAGAGAGCGAGAGAGCTAGAAAAACATTTCATTCAGTTTGTTCTCCAACCAAATGGATAGAGTTTGCATTGTACTTTACAAAGCTAATACGTATGTGCACAATTGTGCACTTGCACGTAGTCGCATGGGAACGAGTGCATAATGAATTATGAATAAAGACATAGCGAGAGCAATGTGAAAACGCCATACTTTAACGATGTTTGAAATACTATAACTGTTAATCCAGATGTTAATCTATGAATTTAGGCGTTTTTAACCGTGTTAATCTTAAGGTAATTTTCCTCTTGTTTATTCATTTGTGTGCTTAAGTATTTTGTTTATATTTAGAGGTTATATTTGATTTATATATTATTTATGGTGAATGGCGATATAATGTAAAGTTTAGCAATTTCGATTAAACATTACCATAGTTCTTGACAAGGTGATTATATAGTTGATATTAGGCTCAATTATATTTAAATTACTAATTAAAATGCGATATTACTTAAATTCTGTTATAACTATATGAAGTTACATGGCATAGTTACCGATACAGTAAAACTGCTTCTAAATTTAGTTCATCTTTAAAGAATATTACCTGACTTATGGCATATAATATTGACTTATAGGACATAGGGGACAACATGTACTCAGAGTGGGCATCTCTGAGTATACTGATTCAAGAAGGATTAGAAGATAGCCAAAGTGTACTTGAAAAGTTTGCTCCTGGTGTTGGTAGAGAAGTAACATTGTCAATTGTGCGTCAACTGGCAACAAATCTTGGGATTGCTCAAGCAGCTGAACCAAGTCCTTTGATTACTGATAAGGAAGTGCAGTGGTGCATGGAAGTAATTTGTTTTGGACTCTCATTGCCTTTAATAGAGCACGATACTATTAGAGACTGTGTTAATGTCTATTGCGAATGGCTTTCAGCATTATATACATCGCCTAAAATATCGGTACCCAAACCGATAACCGATGATCCAAATTACTATGCACGAAAAATTATCAGTCACTTTCATAATCTTTTTGTACCAAGAAAGGGGGAAGGTATTTATTGCATATTATTATATTTCATTTTAATGGAAGAATATATATTTTCTTTAATAGTTCCGTTAATAAGTAGAATATAAAGATAATTTAATCTTTGTCTCAGTAATAATAAATAAGAAAATTCATATTTACATTATTAATTTAATAATATTTGTTTGGTCATTTTCTCTGAGTTCCTAATATTTATAATACTAGACTATTAAAGAAATGGTTTTTTCCAATATTTCAAAATAGTTAAAATTACTTCTTTTTTCCATAGTCTGGCCATTTTTGTACCAGGACTTGGGTAACACTAAATACTTACTATCATATAGAAGAGGCACGTAATAATCGTTATAATTATTGATTAATATTTGACATTTTATATATTGCAGCAGCAGATACAATCAATAAACAAGCAGTATTATGTCACAGAGTTTTACGAACGCTACAGCAAGTTTCTAGAAGCTGTGCTACGTTAGAAAGAGATACGTGGGAATGTTTACTTTTATTTCTCATTGGTATCAACGATGCTCTTTTAGCACCACCAGCTATTAGGGAAGACACTGGCGAGCAGCTATGCGAAAGAGTATTAGGAGTACTTTTAGAGGTTTGCAAACGTTCATTCGTGAAAAGAATATTAACTAATAATTATAGTTATTTATTTACTAATCGATCCTGTATGTTGGAAAAGGTATGGCTAGTTGCGTGCGAACGCAATTTTCCATCTCCACCATTATGGAGAACTTTGAGGGAATCGTGCTTTAGGTGGCGTCACAGATTATCTTTAATCGAACAATGGAATCGTGTTTGTTTAGCACTTACTGCTCGCCTCTTACATATTATGTATGGGCCAATGTTTCCTGAACTAAAAATCAGTAAGATATATTTATTTAAATATTGCAAATTCACATTTCGCTAATAATTATCTAATTGTTCTTTGCAATTTCATTGTATTTCAGTTTTTTGCATCTAATAAGATCCATTAATAATAAAAAAGAAAATATATATATATATATATATATATATATCAATGTTTTTCAATCTTATTTCAGAAAGCAATCTATTTTAACGGTTGTGGTGCGCAATAAGACCTTTTGCTCTATTTTTTAAATTTAAAAACATTTAAAGAATATGAAAATGGATAAATTAAAATATTTCTTAATATTCATTAATAATCATTAACTTAATAATCATTTACTTAAATTAGAAATTTTAATCAATATTGACATATTGTTGTTAATAAGAGAAATGAATCATTTCACAGATGAGGAGGACTCGCAACTGGTATCTAGCACAATGTCCAACGAAGCCGTTGCCCAGGCATGGTACAGGCTTCTACGTACAATCGGTGATCCGGTTGATTTGTGTCGTCCAGCCGTGATATCTCAAACACAAGCGTTTTTGAGATACGCCATCGCTAGTCCTAATGTTGTCGATCCATGTCAGCATCCGTGTCTACAGCAATTACCTTATATATTTCTGAAGGCAATTAAGGGTATCGCAGGACAAGTCGATGCGTTTTTAGGTATGCATAGAGCTCAGAGTCTAGTAATAATTATAAATGGCACGTTACACTAGCTAACTGTGATTACTCTAACTCTTTGAAGAGCACAGGCATGAGGCTTTATACCTTCTATAATGCTTCCACGATCAACCACAATGTGTACATATGTTCTACAATTCTTAACATATATCTCTTATTATACATATCATCTTATTCCTCTTGTTATAATACTTCTTTATTTTACTATAACCATAAAAGGTTCAATCAGTTGCCAAAAGAAAAAACTTAACAAAAAATTTACTTTATAACTTTAGATAATATCAAAGATTTTGTATTTTTATTCTGTTACTACTTATATATATTTCTACATAGATGTCAGTTTTTAAATTAAGTAATGTTCTAATCCAAAGTACTATTTGCGATATGAAATAAATGAAATGCGCAGAGTGAGGTGAGGAGTTGGATAGATAGTGAAAGTCAATTTCAAGCGTTACATCCTAGTGCATCCTGTTGTATCTACCACTTAGGGTAAGATCCATCGGATCCAAGCATAAAAGTCCTATAGCTCAAGCTTAAGAATATTCTCAAGACTTGTGGTCAGAGTCTGGGAAAGTGGCAGAGGAGCCATCGACCGATTTCCCGAAATCATTCGAATAATCGATATTACATGGATCATCGTAGTTCGTCGAGGAGTTGGAACGCTATTTATTACCTCGGGATATCATTCTATTGTTTTCTATCGTTGAAACCCATCGCTTCACCAGGCACACAGTCCCTATCTACACGCCACCTTATTATTTATACATCTAAGTAATTATAATCTATCGGATGGTAAATTAATGAATAATTAATGATTAATCGAAGAATAGAATTTTTTTAATTGATTGAAAAAATCAATCTTTCGCAAACTCGTAATCATCCCAATTTCACGATCGTAAATTTCAAGGGGAATTATTATTCGAAACATTATTCGAAACATTTACGACTTCCAATCCGGAGTAGGAGATAGCGTAAAAGTTTTTAGAAATTCTTTTTAAAAGCCATTCGCTAGCAATTGATGGGTTCCGGTGAATTTGAAGCTCGAACGTGCCGTAAAAAAGTTTCGATCTTCTCGGGGCCTCTTGAATTGCACGTGCGTGTGATCTCCTCGAGAAAAATGACGGGACTCCCTGAATAATAATAAAAGGGGAGAGTTGGGAGTGGAGGGCTGGTAGGGTGAAAAAGCCATTTTTTCCAGGTATATCGCACGCCTGCTGCTGGGAAGAGTGCTGCATGACGACGAATTTCGGCCTTGGAAATTGCAGCTCGGGTGGTCTCGGTGCTACCGGCGGTGGCTGCGGCGGTGGCGGCGGCGGCTCCACCAGCGTAACTGGCGACAGAATCATCTTGAAGGATCAGCCGCATCACTCGCCGACGCCCCCCACGCAGCGGAGGCTCGCAAAGAGCTTCAGTGTCACGCCCTCCGCAGTTACCAAGGGTATTCCCTGAAATAAGATTCATTGACCGATAGGAGCCGCATTTATCGTCCATAACTCTACCTCTACTCGTTTCCCTTTTCGTGTTTCTCTCTCAATTTCTCCTTCAATTTCTCTCTCAATTTCTCTCTCAATTTCTCTCTCAATTTCTCTCTCAATTTATCTCTCAATTTATCTCTCAATTTATCTTCTTATTCTCATTGCACGATTCTCGTAGAGCATAGTGTGTTTTTACCTCATACTGACGAAACTTTTTTAAACGTACTTGATAAGATGATCGAGAGCGCCTCGATGGATGATGATGATTATATTGCTATTCGGTAGGTATTCCCAAGTCGTCGTTGATTGGCTTAACGACTAGCAGAGTTACCAGTACACCGTTGATGAGCTCCAATTCGGGTCCTTCCTCGACATCCAGTACAGCCTGTAAGACTTTTATCTTAGAACCGCTTGCATGTACCGGATATATGAAACTTTTGATCATGGATTTAAACAGTCCAATTAACATATCTTAGTGCCATAATGCAACGCAATGCAAGTATCGCTTAACATATTAGTTAAAGTAATGATAATAATAAGGACAGGAACCAAAGAAATTCGTTTTTTTTTTTTTACTTTTTTTAACATTATTATTATTATTTTTATTTTATTTAAGTCTAGTGCGTTGATGATAAAGCCAATGGTTTAATAAAAATTTTTATTCTTCTTTTCTCTCAGCTTCTTTCTTTATTCTTTTAATTTACTTTTCGTAACTATTATTCGTCTCTATATTTACAGCGATGATGTCGTTAAATCAAGATATCAGACCACCCTTGGCATCGGGCCGTCCCAAGTGCAATAGTATACTCCACTTATTTGGCGAGTGGCTTTTTGAAGCCGCGTTTGTCGGCACAGATGGCTGGTCCCAAAATCTACCCCGTAAGTGGTAAATGGCATAGCTAAATAAAAAAAATTAAAATAAAACTAAAAAGAATAATAATAAAAAAATAATAACATCGACGAATTAAGTAAGATTGGGCATGCGCAATTATAATGCGATCAAAAGCATTTTTTTAAGAAAATAATTACTACGCGTGAAAATTATACCTTCCATAACTACCGACTTTTGACGTATCATACAATAATCAATGAAAATCGCGTAAATCTTCTAGTCAGCTTAATTATAAGTTTATTAAGGAAGCAATGGAGAATTATAATTTACAATTTGAAATAATTCTTACAGAAACGAATAATGCCCCTAAGCGTCCATCGTCCGTACTCGTCGATGGGCCAAGCTCATTACAAGAGAATCTTGGAGAAGTTCCGCCGTCGCTTAGTATTGACCGATTCGAATCTGGTAGAGCCGAGGCTATGGGAACATTATGTAGAATATTTTGTGCTAAAAAAACTGGAGAGGAAATTTTGCCGGTATATTTAGCAAGGTTTTATCAAGCCATGAATTATGGATTAAAAATAAATAAATTTTCCGAAGTAAATAATCAATCGTTAAAATAATGCTTCGCTATATTTACTTATTTGTATATAAGTGTAATTATATAAGTATAATTATTAGGTGAAGGAGTGTGGCGAAACACTTGCAAGTATTTTATCAAACTCTTCGGATTTGTTTCGTCTCGACTTGGATGGTGTACAAGTTTTAGTTCCAGCAGTACTATCGGCATTAGAAATTGTACTTCCAGAAAAAGACTTGAGACTCAAATCAAATTCAGTATCAAAAGTAGAATTATGCAGATCTTCTATTAATTTATTATTATCTATGCTGTCATTGCCATTACATTTTCAGGTATTGATATATATATATATATATATATATATGTCATTAAATCATATTTAACACGATATAAGAGTTCAATTCGAATGAAAAATTACCTTCCAAGTATTTTTATCAAAAAATAATTTTTATACATTTAATTTTCATCTAAATCTACGTGTTTTCCTTTCTTATATCGTTTTTATTTTTGTGTTTTTGCAATTGCAGAATCTTCAAATCAAAGATATATCTACGCCCACTTCGAATAATCAAGAAAAAATTCAAGTTACATTTGCACAATTAAAGCCGAAACTTATGAATTTGTTAATAAATGCATTGCAGGTTGAAGTTGATCCACAAAATACTCACATGCTTTTAGGTATGTTTATATATAACCGCTATTAAGCTTTAGAATAATATAATTAACAATAGGAATTTCTTATAGGTGGCTTATTACTAAGTGTACAAGATTCGGCGGCAGCTGAAGAAGCGGAACAAGTTACTCAACCAGATAGTACAATATCAAATGACACAACAACTAATTTATTATCATCTGGTAAACTTAGAGAATTTCGTTTCAAATTTCAAATTATTATATTTCATTAATTTTGCTGATTTTTCATTTTCATTATATTGTGGCTTCAAAGCTTATATTAGCTGCATTGTTTTTTTCTTGTTTTTTTTTTTTATTTTATTTTTGTATTTTATTTATTTTTTTGTTTTTTATTTTAAAAAATATTTTTATGCACATTACATTGGCATTCAATTAAGTATAATGAAGTTTTATTCCGTTTTTTAATGCTAAAAAGTTCAAAAAAAATTTTTTTATAAATGAAGATAAATTCTTCTTTGTTTCATATTACCATGAACGTTTATTCTAGTTATTTATTCAAATTACATATTAAACGATACGACTCTGCTTAAAATTAACATAAATATTTTGATGGATTCGTTAAGAAACAGTAATGTAAACTCAAATTCAAACGAGCTCTTATTGAAATTCAGAAAGCTATTGCTTATTAATCAATTAAAAAATAAATTAATGGATTATCTTAAGATGAATATCGTTGTAAGGGCATTGTACTTGGTGTGCCATTGTAATGATATAAAATGAAAATTCTGCTAATACAATTTATTGTGCACACATTGTTTTGTTTTGCATTGGGTTGCCGTCTGATTTTGGTTGTTTTTTCTTGATTTGTTCTTCCATTGCGCAATTTCTCTTCATTCTGCTATTGGTCTACGTATATGATCACTCGGTAGTCTGCACCAGCGATACGACCAGTCAGACAAGCATATCCAGTGATCTGCGCTCTCTAGGTGATGCGTCTGACATTGCTATGCTCCAAGAAGAGAGTGTTTCATTCGGTAAATATTTTGCAAATGTTTTTATTTAGCTATTTTCTCGCTTTCTTTCATCTTTCACGCCAAACCTTGCAACTCGAAGTTATATGTCACAGGTATTATAATCATGCTTTCGGTTGCCTTATTGTTGTTCTTTTACTTACTTAAGGGTGTGCATTTTATATTGAACTTATATTGACGATAGTTGAAAAAGATAATGGAAAACAAAAAACAAAAAAAAACAAAAAAAAAAAAATCGTTTCTTTTATTTGTGAATTGTGTTTTTACGAGTTATTTTTTTGTTCACAGAGGGCACATACTGCTGCAAATTATATAAATACAATGTTTAATCATTAGAATCTTTTTGTTTCAAACTCGTAAGACTTCAAGAGACTTTTTCATTCGCTACTTTAATATTGATCATTTCAATTTATCTCGAATAGATTGAAAATGTACTTATCGCAAATGTAAATTCCGTATTTATCTATTAATATGAAAGAGGGTTACTTCGATAACATCCATGTGAAATATCGCTTGAAATTTTTTATTCTAAGACGATATCAATTTTTGTTGCAGATTCAGCCCATGCACTTTTTGTTCGAGCGACATATTTAGTCTGTCATCGATTAATTTCCTCTTGGAAAACAGATCTTAATATTTCATTAGCAGCCCTTGAGATGCTTTCCGGCTTGGCACGAACACGAATCCGCGAAACAGGTAAAATCATAGGTGCGGGTGGGTGGGTGAGAGAGAGGGGGGAGGGGGAGATAGGGGGGGGGACACATATCGAATCAGATTATTTTCATTTTTTTTTTTATTTTTTTTTTTATATGTCAACAAGCAGCAAGGAAATTTACAGGTTCGAATTAGTTTACATTTTTTTTTCTCACAGCAGCGCTCAAACATATAAGAACAATGAATTGAAAGATCGATAATGTAATATTGATCTTAAGATTTCAAATGCATTCATCTATTGCAGACGCACTGGAGTGTAAACGAGCGGTTAAGTGGCTGTGCGATTATATAGCATATCAATGCTGGAGACCTCCTCCGGCACATTCCAAAGATCTTCATTCAACCATTGTTGCAGCATTTGCTTGCCTTACAACTTGGTTGACTGCGCATCCACAGCTCTTGCAGGTCATTTGCTTAAAAATTATTGAATTTTATCTCACTTTTATTACAAACTAGTAAATGATGTTGTTGAAGTAACCTTTCTAACTTTGACATCCTTAAGAGATTATATACATTTTATAGTGTGCTTTTTACAATTTTTTTATATATATATTTAATGCGTAAAAGTTGTTATTCATTGAAGTTTGTAGTGATGCAACAATTTGTTAAGTAAAAATTGAATAAACTCTCTATTCATTTGTAAGAATGCATTGGGTGTTGAAGTAATTTGATTTTGAAAATGATATTTTCAGCAACAAGTAATATTTCATAATTGATCGATCTCCACAAATATCAAACAAATATCAAACAAATATCAACAAATCTCAACAAATATGTTCAAAGTATAGTAATGTATGAGTAAATAAATATTTTGCCGAGATATCAAACATTATGATTACTTTAATCGCGCATTAAGTAGATTCTATATTTATAGATTGTAAATCAGAGGTTTAAATAAAAGTCACATTTGAATTTAAATTTAATTTAATAGGACAAGGAGTGCTTAGCAACCGTTCTGGAAGTTGTCGAGTTGGGCGTTTCTGGCTCAAAATCTATCGGAAAGCCCGGTGAGCCTATCAAAATGAAGGACGAGAAGGAGCTTAAACCTGCATCTATGCGTGTCAGAGACGCAGCCGATGCTTTACTTACAATAATTCTCGAACAGGTAAATCAATCAAATTCGCTTACAAGTAAACGCGACAAAAAAGAAAATAAACATAAACTTATTCGTTTTACTCGATTGAGCTATATAACTTATAAGATTCTATAATTATTGAACCGAATTTTTTTTTTTTTTTGATAAATCTGAGTTATCAAAAATCAATCATATGTACTGTAAAAATTCTAAGATAAAAGAAGAAAAAGTTGTTTAAAATGCTTATAAAAGTTATAAAAAATCACATATATTTTAAATTGAAAAGAGATTGATTTTTTTCTTTCTGGAAAGTCAATTTTATTTCTGAGATTTTCACGTTAAGTTATTGTATATAAAATTACATGCAATGTGTACAGACAGGACAGTGATTGAACATATATATATATATATATATATATATATATATATATATATATATATATATTTTTTTTTAAACAACTGTCGCTATACATGTCGATATACATACATATATATATATTTACATACATGTATGCTCATTTCTTGCTGGGAACGTATGTCTGAAAAAGATGCACAACTTATTGTTCACACTTATTAATTATGAAAAATATGTGGAGAATTCCATTGCAATTATTAATTAAATATGTATGCGTGTCGCTGATAACTTGGGTTTAGTAGAAATACACTGTCAGGCTAAAAGATTTTCTTGCTCGTTCTTTGCAAGGTCGGCTATTTCCCAAGCGTCTGCGGTGCCGAGTCTCTGTCCTCACTCCTGGACGAGGTATCGCTTCTGCGGCACTGTAACAGCTGGCCCGGCGGTCAAGTACCCCGGGAAACGGCTGTCGAGCGTTTTAGGTATTTCGTAGCCGATAATGCGACGATGCTTGCTCTATTGGAGGAGCCGTTGGGCAACGACCAGGACCCCCAGCCCACGGTCACGGTACTTATTCGCGGACCTTTCGGTCGTCACGCCTGGACGATGCAGCTGAGGCACCTTCCCAGGCATCGCTCCGTCGTTAGGAGCGCTAACTCAAATCCGGGAAGACCGCTGCCCCTCCAGGAGGTACAGCCGCCGGTCGACTACAAACCGAGATTCTTCCCGGACAATGTCGACAAAATACCCCATTGTAAAGTGTAAGTTGTTCCCTAGGGATTTTATGGCAATTTTGCATGAGCGCTCGATGGGTCGCAGAGTCGTGACGGTGTAGAATCCTTTGCAAAAGATGGTAGTAACCTTCGAACAAAATCGAATGAAAATGCCACTGCCCCCGAATTGCCACTCATTCGATATTTTACATAAATTCTGGGAATATTCATAGATTCTCGAGGGATGCCTTTAAATCGTAGATATTCGAGCAACGAAATTATTTCCCGCGTAGTCGATGAGATTCTATTGGAACGCAAGCGCTTTAAGAATCCTCGCGAGCACCCGAGCTTTCAAAGCGATAAATACTTATTCGTATGTACATTAAATGCTATAAAGTAACATACAATTGATTTTTAATGTGTACTTCCGGCAGAGACGAATCAATACCGAGTCTTGAAGCAGTGGTGAACGAGAACGAGACGATGAAAAACGAACATCAGATTCTGGATCAATTGCTCGACTATGCAATTAGCAACGAGACCAAGTTCAATAAGGAAAACGTCGATCGAGTCTCGTCGGAAAAAATAAGCGAGTGCTCTCCTCCCAAGATCTGCCACGAATTCCAAACGGCACGACTCTTTCTCAGTCACTTTGGCTTTCTGAAACTCGGGCCAGGAACGCAAAACGATATGAATGCCAGCGGTGGAGGACTTATAGCGCTCGATCCTACGATAACTGGATTTGCTTCGGATTTGGCGAACTTGGACCACATTAGTGCAAGAACCTGCGACACGGTTCACATTTTCTACGTTAAATCCGGCCAAGCGACTCCAGGAACGATACTTTCTAACGTGGTTAGTTTACATTTTTAACGAAACTTAGCTTGGAGCATAAACATTAATGCCCCTGCATAAATGCCTTTTTCATACAATACAACTCGTTATTTTATCCAAATTGCCAAACACGAAAGTATTTGTTTTTTTATCACTCAAGACCTTATGACCTTACACGTCGCTTATATTATTATTATTTCTCAAGTATTAAGCATATCATTAATACGTAAAAAGGATATTATTTCGCACAGAATTTCTGAAAATATTCACCGAGCATTCAAACTTTACCGTCATTATGATGATTAACAATGCCGTACCTCTATTATTGGGATTACTGCATTAAATGCAAAAGAGACGTTAGATTCTTATAGATTTACGAATAATATACATACGTCGATTTATATGGTACGCCATTGCATTGTTTATGCTTAGTTGCATGAGAGTTGCGTATCGCCAAATTTTCTGGAGTTCCTCGTATCTCTGGGCTGGCCAGTGTCGGTATCGTCGCACGCTGGCTGGACCGGGCACGTCGAGACTTCCTGGCGCTCGACGTCCGCCAGAACCTCGAGTCCTCCCCAAGCCGAGGAAGCCGATCACGGTGGCTCCCTTTACGACGGTAGCAGTCACGTGCTGTATTGGGCGGATGTGAGCTCGGAGGTGGCCTTCGTCGTGCCAACTCCGTCAGCCAACGTAATCCCAGAGCCAGTCACCGAAAGCCATTACACCCAATCTAATAGCGGTATCCATATTTTCTTAATTAGTCGCCCATTGCTCATTATTCCTATCGATATTTTTACATTGATATTTCGATCTTGTTAATAATCACAGCACAAGGCTTCACTAAGCTTTTATTATAACACGCTCGAATATTTTTACTTGTGGCACATAATCGTAACTATTATTTAGCTTTTAAAAAATACAAAAAATAACAAAAAAAAAAAAAATAAAAAAATAAAAATAACCGCCAATTATTTGTTAATAAAATTACAGTAATAAGAGTAAAGAGTCTGTCTTGTGAATTTTTATTGGCCATGACCAATTACATAATTGCTTTAATTAGTTTATTATACGCTCAAATAAATAAATAATATAATAAACTCGATAGTGACCGCTTATAATTAATAATATGGCTGTGTATAATAAATTGCCAAATCATGTGTCCTCAAATGACCATTTAATTTAATACAAATGAAGTACAAAACATAGGAATATCGATGCTTTTGTGCTTTTGTGCTTTTATGCTTTTATGCTTTTATGCTTTTATCGTGATATCTAATAATCCAATATGTGGTTGTTCTATTTTAAGAGATTGATTATAATTTTAATATAGTTTGGTTCGAGAGATGCGTCGGCTCAAGCAATACGCTTGCCTTTTCAAATTCGTCGACGCTAATCGGTCAGCCTCGCGCGATGTCCTTAGATTTAGAGAAACAGTCGGCTAATATGGCATCACCGCCGATTGGAATGCAACAAAACGAGCCGACAAAGCCTCGAAGAGTGACGAAGCACCTATTCCCTGCCCAGACTGATACAAAAATCATGGTCGTGTGGCTGGAGAGTCTGGAAGATTCTGCCCAATTTCCTATATGTAATTATCAGTATTTACAAAGCACGCGCGCGTCCACGACAATTTATCCGATGTATCCCTCGAGATTACATCTTAATTAAAATCTAAATTATTTAATGTAAATTTAATATCGAACGTAATATTAATGACATATTTAAATAGACCAATTGAATGTGGATAAATATGAAATCGTTAGAGTCTTAGATGCTTGGAAAAATAACGAAACTACCAAAGAAAATAAAATTTAAAGAAATTCCTATTTTCAAACGATTGGAAAGGTTCCAAAAATATTCGAGAAAAGCCGAAATGACCCGCGGCTTGAACTAAGTTATTTCTGCATATGACAACAGTGAAATAAGAACAACGCGTTTCGTCACCAAAATAAAAATGTTGAACGTTCGTTGATTAATTCGTTCGAATGAGTCACTTATAAGAAAAAAATTATACCTCGGTCTCGAATACATTTGATATCATTTCTACTTCGAAATTAATGGTAAATTTACTTAACGGCTTTATTTCCTACATTGTGCGCCTCTTTTTCGAGGAGACAATTTTGAGACTTTGCAAACAATTGGAGGCGCTTTGAAATCAGTAATACGTCGTATTAATATTAAAGGACGATATTTCAATAGAATCATTAACCAATTATATCGTTGACGTATTATCATACCTCGTTAATATTATGAATCTTACAATAAACAAGGAAAGTCGATATTATAATTCAATATTTCAGATGCATTTATTGATACAGCATACTTATAATAAATATAACATAAACTATATATTGTCTTAAATTATAAATTGTAATTTGAATGTAAATTATGCGAAAGAAATTAATAATAACAACAACAGCAATAATAATAGAAATAAATAACAACAAGAATAGATGGGCATTATTATTATTAGCATCGTTAAATTAGTAATGATCGTGTTACTTTTCAAATACCGCATTTTTACACGATGCTATATTTAAATGCAGTTTGTATTGAATTAATTGAAGAACACGATAATATTGGCATTGGTAACGTCTACTCTGCCGTCTTATCGTGGTACATGCGAAGCAGCTAAGCGATTAAAAATAACATTAGCCAAGAAATTGGCAATTACCGTAACAACCATACAATGTCCGGCAAATCTCAGACAATAGGCATCGTTAATTAACAGCGGCATTGTTGCCACACACACACACGGGCCTCGATCATTCGCGGACTCTGCAGTCCACGGACGTGCACGTGATATTTCTTCAGGCTCTCGCCAGCGGACTCATGAGGGTCAAACTCCAGGGACCGACCTCGAGGATGAACCTCGCCACGCCGCTGATCGACGGGATGGTCGTATCGCGCCGAGCCCTGGGATCTTTGGTGCGACAGACAGCTCTTAACATCGGTCGGAGAAAACGACTGGATAACGACAGGTGAGGAACTAGGAACTAAGAAGGCGGAAGACATATCTCTTATGATTTTCAGAAGAGAACGATTTCTAATGATATCCCTATATTCTATTCCTTATTTTGCAATATTTTGCATCCATACGAAATTCTATATTTCTAGATAATTCTGAATTTGATTTTAGTTCTTAACGAGCAACATTTTGTAAAAGTTTCGTTGAATGGGGCCAAAGTAATCACATCAAAGTCAACTGTTACCTAATCAGCACTTATTTACTATACGTATATTTAAAAAGTAAACAATATTAATTGTCAAATGGTTTATGTAATTACATTATACGCCATTATTGACTTATAATCATTAATATTCCATTTAATGATAGTACTTGTATTATTTTTCTCGAAAAATTGGTCAGTAAACGACTAATCGATTACTAACCGTTAACTTTAATACGTTAATACCGTTCGCTCACCCGTTCTTCCTTCTTCTATTCTTTCACTCACTTCATTTTCATCATTTTCTGTAGAAAGTTCAACAATATTTACTTAATTCTACGTCGTTTATTAAAATTGGCTTTTAAAATACTTACGTTATCATGAATTAATAATTATTAAATAAAAATACTCCAGCGCTCCAATTAGTTCCAATAATAGTTCCAACAATAATCCAATACCGTTCATTAACGACTAATTTTTAAGCTAAAATTTGTAAATAGAATTATTTCACAGGCGAATTTTACCGTAACTACATTTTAACTTTACATAAGAATCTTTATTTTTATAGTTATCATCCTCCACACGTTCGAAGGCGTTTAAAAATTCAAGATATGGTCCAAAAGTACAAGCGAAATTTACAACAACCAGAATTGTTAACTTTATTGTTTAATAACACTCAAATGTAAAATATTATATTTATTATAAATAAAATGTGATATATGATACTTAATATTATTATGAGTTTTTCATTACCTTATTACCTGATTATAATCTTTCGTTATTTCTACTGTTATTGTGCGTAGTAGAATATCAAATGAAAATGTTACATTCAATGTCAAATAATTGGCTTTGGATAAAAGTTTTGTCTTGCATTACAAAATACAAAATGTATTCGTTAACAATGAAAATATAAGAACAAAAATATTAATTCAATCTTATATATCGATGTTCATGTATTTGATGGTCCTTCTCCCCCCCCCCCCCCTCACTCCCTTTAATATGATTAAATTATATCACAATTACAATAAAGGATATTTAACAACAGCATGTTTTCAATGAGTATTTTTTAATAAAAATTCGTTTCTTAAGTGAAGAAAAAATATTTTAACATAGCACGGCACAAATTTTTCATCGTAAATATAAATTAAATATAAATTAAATATAAATTTAAATGCTTTAGATAATATTGCTTACGATATAATATTCATACTATTGAGAACAATTGCTAAATAGAAGACTGCATATGTTTATTAATATTATGGGAAAACGTTTTATTAACATCGAAAAATTATATGTATACAAATTAATGATAATACAATGCCATATTAAATGCAAATGAAGGTATAACTTCCGTAGTGTGTAATTTCTATCGATCTTATGTCATAAATAGAGGACAGTCTTTATCATTAAATTAAAGAAATTCAATGCATAAGTAGCTGTGATTTAATACAATAAAGCTGCAGTAAAATTTTTGTAAACTATGTTAGAAGTAGAAAAATCATTAAACGCTTGTTTCAATAACCCAAATTATCGATTATTGAAAATATATCTTTCAATGGTTGGATTTTGGCCTACTCAAGATCGAAAGATTCAATTTATCATTAGATTATTTCAATTCACTGGCATTTTCAGTGCTACTGTTTTAGAGGTACGATACTGTAAAGGAAAAACAAAAACAAAAACAAAACAAAAAAAAAAAATATGCAAAGTAAATCAATATTAATGTCCTTGAATTAACTTTTCTCATTTCCCTCTACAATTCAGTACTTTTCTTTGATAATTAGTGAGAGATAAGCATTTACATACACTTCGTGCAAGAAGTAAATTAACATATTTTAGTAACTAAAATTTTTCAATGTCCCAATTATAAATTTTTAATTGAATGCCATTAGATGACTATACTTATTATTATTATCGAAAAGTACATGTAATCATAAGGTATATTATTATTTGAATACTTAAAATTCAATAAAGTTAATTTCTTCAACTCGATCGATTTATTTGTGACATTTTCTTCAAATTGTATACAATTAGTTTAATTTAATTACAATCTTAAATTTAATATTCATTATCAATATAACAATGCACCGTTTAACAAAGATTAGCATTAATGTCAATTTCACAAGTATTTGTTGATGAAACATTATTTTACTAGAAATTTCTTGTAAGCATTGTTTTTTTTTTTTTTTTTTTTTTTTAAATAATAGCTCGAGAACAAAGATTTTTATTTAAAAAAATTATTATTTATTAATATTGATATATTTATTATTTATAGAAATACTAAAAACGTTTTCACAATAAATCGTAGAACAATAATTTTTTATTTGATAATAAAAACATTATGTAAGTTTAGTACTTGCCAGTGATTAATAATATATTTAATCATTACAAAATAAATGAAAAATTATATGATAAATTATGGATTTTCAATTTCATCATAAATTTCAATTGATAAATTTAAAATCAAAATGTTTTAAATTTGTCATGATCGTGATTTTTTTAAATTTTTTATTGTTTTAAATGAAACTTGACGTTTTAACTCTATCTGTTATTCTTAATAAGGTAAAGTACTTTATAGACGTTTTTGGAGATATAAAAAAAATTTTGGATTGTGCACCAGTTCTTTTTATAGTTTATGTGTACTATGTTTTCGTCTTCAACGCTATTTGGCACTTTTACCTGGTATTTTGGTTAATCTTTTTTTTTTTTTTTTTTTTTTTTTTTATTTATACATCCGAGTAATACGTGCAATTAACAAAACTTTTATCGCGTTAAGATGAAAAGAATATTAAATCAAATGATAAAGAATTGGAAAAATATAATGGACATAAACGAGCATGCAATACTGCAGAAACATGCGAGAAAAGGACATATATTAACTAAACTATACGCAGGTAGTAATGTTATTTGAATGATTCTTTCTTTACAACATTATATCAATTAATGAAAATAATTACACAAAACGGATCTACAGATTTTATTATATATCATTGATATAGAGATTTATTTATTTATTTTTTTATACAGGTGCTATGGTTGCAACATTAATATTATTTTCATGTTCACCGATTATTCAAACATTACTTCAATTAAATACAAATAACGAATCTGATCCGATAAATCTGCTAGAAGCTAATTATTTTGTCGATCCAGTTAAATATTACATTCCTATCTATCTTCATGAATTTCAGGCAACTGGCTTTGTCATACTTTTTTATCTTACTTGGGATACGTATTACGTAACAGTCGTCCTGCTCAATGTTTGAAATTTTAGGGTATTATTTTGAGATTTAGACCAATGACTTTATGCATTGAAGCTTCTGTTTAGGCGTAATACTGGAATTAAATATTAATTTTCTTTTAGCTATAGATTGAACAAAATTGGCGAAGATCACATTAAACTCTTTAATGAATTATATGGTCATAAGCAAGATAAATTTGCTTGCACCCAAATCAAGAAATGTATCTGCTACCATAGCGAATGTATAAAGTATGTACATTTATTCGTTCTTATACTCTTCGTAGTATTATATAATAATTGTAATTCTCAATAATATATTGGCTTTAAAATTATCTTCCGATAAAAAATATAATTATTTTTAATATAATAATGTATTTAAATTATTATTCAATCTAATTACCATGTACCTCATAAATACTTTCATAAAAACTTTCTTATATGGTAGTCTTTGTGCATCTGATATTTACAAAATATTCAAATATTTATTTGGAAAATATTAAAAAAAATTATAACCCTTATTAATGAAATAATCATGATATGCCATACTCATAGATCCGCGTTCCAATGACATTTAGTCAATGCTTAATTTTTTCTCATAAATAATCAAAGTGAATTGAACGAAACTTTTGTAAGTGTCGGGAGTTTAATTTCATATATCAGAGATTAATTCTATTTAAAAAAATAGTCATATATAACTCAAATTCTTTCTGTAATTATAAGTTGATTAAGTCATTACTGAAATATATTGATTTATAATAATAGTGTAATTGAAATAATATTTCATCTTAGTCGTTAGTCAAGCTGATATAGGTAAACGTTCTAATTTTTAATTTCATTCATTAATAATAATAATAATAATAATAATAATAACAATTATTATTATTATTATTATTAATTCACAAAGGTTTGAATAGTCGCGTATGAATGTTGAAGAGTGGGGTTAAATAAAATTCTCCATATTCTATAAAAATTGTCTATAAAAGTATTTATATTGAATATAAAACATTAGTAAATAAATAATTTAGAAACATATTTAATATTTTTTAAATAATTTGAAAATCGGTTAGAGAGATGTATTAAGAAAAATAATAAACAAAATATAATAATAAAATACTAGTGATATATCTATTGAAAATATAGACATACTTTATACTATTCAGCGACGATTATTTAATAAATATTTTAACCAGCAGTTTTAATAAAATATGCTCTAATTTAGTTTATTATAGTAAAAAATTTAACATTTTTTTTAAAAACTACTAAAATTTATGGACAATTGTAATAATATATGAACAAATACATTCATTTTTAAAAATAGATTAGCAGAATATATTGAACAATACTTCCAAATTTCATGGTTACTACAAGTATTTGTGAATATGCTCATTTTAAGTGTTTGTGGATCACGAGTAAGTAATATCGTACATATTGAAATATATATATTTATGATCAAAGTCATATAAATATTTAGAATATATTTCTTTGTTCCTTTCATATTTCTTTTTCTTCTTTTTCATTAAGTGCAATTTTAAGCAACATAAATGTATCAACAATAAAACGGACATTATTATTTATTTAACAGATGTTAAATAAAGACATTTTTTAATTTTTCAGATAATAAATTATTCCGACGAAATAGAATCAATATTTAAATTTGGATTGATCGCTATTACGTGCTGCTTTCGTTTATTTTATGTTTGTTGGACTGGTGAAAAGTTATTCTATCATAGTGGAAAAGTTCATAGATATATGTGAATACTTTTTCTTATTCATTATTCTCATTAATTCTATATTAAAGTACGAATCATGAAAATCATTAGATCTTATAAAAATGATTTTTATAAAATTGTATAGATGCCGCATGCCTTGGCATCAATTTTCCTCAAATGCAAGAAAGTTGCTGATCTTATTACTCGTAAGAAGCTCAAAACCATGCATAATTACAATGGGTACAATGCTAACTTTGAACTTCGAGAGTTATCGCATGGTAATTTGAATATTATTCAAAACTAATCATTTTATTTTAATTAAAAGCATTTTAATTTTAGCTTATTCAAATGTCTATATCATACTTCACTATGATTATATCAACACAGTCCAAATGATTGCAAATTCTAAAAAACATAAATCAGTTATTTTAATTAAACTGCAAGATAATATAGCTTAATTTTTCCATTTACAGTTATAATTTTTAACGTGTAATTGTTATTATTATATTTAGATGTGAGAAGATAGAGATAATTAATCAACGATACCAATTTTTCAATTCATAATTGAAGTTTATATGTAAGTAAAATTGTTTATGCAATATTTTTCTACAATAATTAATAAAATTCTTTTCTAGTATACAATTTTTAATAACAACAGAAATTCTAAGGATATATTATTCTTAATTTATTGGAATAAAAAAAATTCTGTTTAAAATTCAATTAATATTTATAAATGCATTTCTTAAATCAAGCATTTTTCATATATATATTTAATAAAAAGAAATTTTAATATATATATATATATATATATATATATATATATTTCTAGTTTAATCAATGTTCTAATCAGACTTAGAGGATATTTTTAAAGACTGCCAGTACAATTACTAATAATCATCAATTACATAGAATATTCTTCATCCGAGTATACAGGCAACGATAAAGATGCAATTTTTTATATGATCTTGATGCTAATTTGTATGTAAAATATACTGCCATAGGTATGAACTTGTTGATTTGTGGAATATGTTACGACAGTAATTGCATTGCTTAAATCGACATTGTTTATACGTCTTTATAAGAATACTTGTCTATTCAAATTGTGTTTAAAATATCTGTTACGTAGAGTAACGTTGAATAATTTTTTCACTCAACTACTTTGAGAAAATTTATTGAAATTATATTTTTACGTTACATTATGTTGGATTGAAAAAAAAACTTATTATAAACATTACTGTTTAATTGTAATTAACCAAATAAATAATTATATTAATATATCAGCATGTATAAAATAATTTTCTCATTCTATCTTTATAATAATTTATAAAGAGAATTACGCCCACACCATTGTTAAATAAAAAATATCATTGTAATAATTAATTGAAAATATATAATTACTAATATAAAAACATTATGCTGTAATTATTTGTAGAAGAAAATTGTCTCTAGTGTCAGGAATATTTGAACTTTAATAATATAATAAAAGCCGACTAAAGTACATACTCTTCCAGTATCGAATCATATAAATAGTAAATAGGTTTGTCACTCAAACATCACCGAGGTATATTATTTTCCTTAATCAGATTCGCATCTATCGCAGTAAATAATTTTGAGGAAGAAAAAAATAATTTATATCACTTACAGTCGCTAACCTTCGAAACATAAACTTTTCCGCGTGAAAAAGAACTATATTATTTTATACGTAATAACGCATGACTTTACATAATTTGTAAATATAAAAAAAAAAAAACTTATAACATTATGATACTTCAACGAATTGATATAAATGGATATTTCATCTAGAATTATATTGTACGTAAAATTTTAATCAGAGAATATTAAGAATGTAAATAATATTATTAAAATAAAGTTAAAAAATTATATATATATATATATATATATATATATATATATATATATATATTAAAATTTCTTTTTATTAAATATATATTATTTAAATTGTTTCTTAATTTATAAAACAATACCGACTCAAACATACAAATTCTTATAATACTAAATTAAAATTATATAAATAAGTTAACGTTTATTTTCAGTGACCCAGTTTATTGTTGGAATAATTGAAGATGAAAGGAACATTTAATATCATGACCATTAGCGAGAATGTAATAGATTAATAGTAATTTCAGAAATTTTTAAACTATACTTTGGATTTAAATGATCTCTTTTAATAAACATATGTAAACATCCATATTATATTCCATTACATATGTAAATCTAAAAAAATATTTTCTATTATGCAATAAAGTAAGTAATTATATGATAACTTCTATAATTATTTATGATTTTTATTTCTATTTAGTTCCTTCATCGATAATCGAAATATAATAAGAATATTAATTATAACAATTTTTTTTTCCCAAATAACTAATATGATTTACATTATAAAAACTTTTTTATACTGTTTTCAATTTTTCATATACAGTATTATGTGAAAAATATTAAACATTATGAAAATTTAAAACGATTTATTTAAAAAATTTACAATTATAGAATATAAACAAATTCTAAATATTGCAAACTTCAAAGACTCATATTTTTTATCATACTTAATTTCCAGGAAGAGATTTACATGAAAAATTAAGGGATTTCTTAACTAAGATATACTTTGAATATAGTTACTGTATTTTTAATTTGACTTAGATCAAAATAAATGATTTTATGGAATAAAAATTTGATTTATAGAGAAAGAAAGGGACTATAAATTTAATAATATTTCACAAACAATAAATGATTAATTTAGGGAACATTTTATAAATATCTTTCTGACGATGATTTATAAATATATGGATGTATTATTTAAATCGAATAGACATGTTATTTAATTACAAATTGTTGCTTTTGATTAAATATAATTCATTTTTATTTTTCCAATCAAACCATTTTTTTTTTTTTTTTTTTTTGTACCTATTAGTTGATAGATAAATGGACAATAAATTCTTCAATGAAAGTTAATGTCATGTATATTATAAATACTGCAAAATATCGAATTAATGTAGATTACCATAAGTCTTTATTAAAATTTTTCCTCGAAGTTTGTTTTTATTTTTATTTCATTTAAATATTTTCAATAGGCTTTTAATACATTTATTTCTCTATACGTTTATGATAAATTTATTTTGTACATGATTGATTAAAGTTTCTTAAATTATTCAATTTAACGGATAACTTTTCATTTTCTCTCCCTCTTACTTTTCGGGATTACAGTTTATATTTAAAACTGTATATGTATTCTGAATATGTGAATATGTATTCATAATATTTAACCCTGTCCGTATTTTCCTTACCATTTGCTATGTATAACGTGTAACAAATTTTAAGTTGCATATTTTTTTTCAATATCTCTCTTAATATCCAAGAACACTTACACAATAATTGTCAAACCGTATTCTAAAAAAATTATTGTGAAATGTATATATGTAAATTATTATATACACTACGGTGCTTGAGTTTGGAAAAGATCTCTGTCTATGATTGTAAAATATATTTATGATTAATCTCTATAACTCGAAGAAAATAAAATTTTCATCAATCCTAAAGATTCAAATTCAGAAAAATTTTAAGAAAAAAAAACAAAAAAGACATAAATAAAAATATGGAAATCATCGAATATATAAAATAGAATGTAAAATAAATACTAACGTATGATAAGTTATATATTAGTTATATGTTGAAAAAAATTTATTAATACAAAACATTGATTTTGCAAAAATTTGGCCCTTATTACACTGGACTAAATTCAGCTTCTTGCAGCGAATGTTTTATATTTACTTTTATAAATACGGAATGATTTAAAAGCGTAGTGATTTTTAATTAGGTATATTCTGAGTTCAAATTTTGCAATTCTGTAAGTCTTAAAGTAAATGTTTGAAATAGCAATATTAATGCTCCAAAGTAGAATTGTAATCATAGTATAATGTTTCTTTGTTGACTTTATAAACGATCCAAATTCTTTTCCTTACAACAACTTATATTAATATCTTAAAATACTGTAAAATAATTTGTATTATTATTGAATTCATATCTTTTTAATAAATTAATTAAAATATTTTTAATTTTCTTTTACTTTAAATTAAAAAGTAGTTTTAGAAATAAAATTAATTAAATTGTTAATAAATTGCAAATTAATTCGTTAATGCCAGTATGATTGCAAGTTTCATTAAAAAAAAAAAAATATTAATACATTTAGAAAATATTTTCATTAAATTCATACAACAAATATATAATAATAGTTAAACAGCTATTATTTATAAATTAAAAATTTATATTTCTGTTATCTAGTTCCGATGGCTGTTAGAAATATTTTGTGGATATAACAATATTTTGAAATAACTATATTCAAATAACCAAGCGAACGATCTTTTTTCAATGACCGATGGAGAAGTTTATTTTTTATAATTTCCCAATTAATCCTCTGTTTGTTCACTAGAAATTATCCACTATAGACGGTATATTAATTGCTATTTTATGATTATTTTAATTTTAATTTAAGATTAATTGCGTAGTAAAAAGGCTAGTTATATTGTTATTTTTTATTTGTAGTGGGCTAATTTTTCAAATTGTGGACAGTTTATCCAAGATTCTCATTAGTCAAATAAATTATTTCTGCATTTCGAACGAAGGATATTTAAAAGTCACAAAAATATTTATTTTATAAAGTTTTTAGAAACGATTTTACAATCATCGTGACTAACAAAGTTAAATTATCTCTTAATATTTTGCATGAAATCAGGCAATTTTTAATATAAAAGAAAAAAAATTATGTCTGATTTTTTCTCACACATCAATCCAAATTTTTATAGAATTTGATATTAATCAATTAATGTGGATTTTTTTTTTTTCACTAAAAATTTATATAAACTCATAAAGAATGTTGCATGTGCTTTAAGCGTATAAAAAATTTGAAGTGAGTTTATGTTTTAGGCGCGAGAACGAAGTTGATTTATTAGTTGAGCATCTTCATTCGAAACTTGAATTAATAACGAGAAGAAGACGAAGTTCCGAGTCTGACGATCAACGCTCTGCGACGCTAATCACGATGGAAAAGGGCCTATCAACATTTCAGGCGGCTGAATGGCTGAACGGCAGCGGCAAACCTTCGCTTCCAAGTGGGATCGCTCGCCGTTATTGTCCGGCTTTCGTTTTCGCAGCAACATTCGCTCAAACCTTTGCGCAAACCTCGCGGGAAGCTTCTCGCCCGTATCGGCTACGAATCATTCGTACTTTTTTTACCGGAATCGCGCCACGGCTACGACCACACTCCGCCAATATTAGACTACCGGCGCGCGATCCAAATTTCCCCCCTCGGGAGCAAGGTCGCGTTCCACCGCTTGCTACTTCGCCTGCACGATCCCCCTCCCACCCGCCCTCCAATACTCCCTCGTCGTCTCACGGAGGCGGGGTCCTCTTTCTATAAAGGCTGACGGATGATCGGCGACGACACCACTTCCTCGCCCGTCACCGCACGCAACCAAAGGACTAAGTAAAACGTAAATTACCACTCGATCCAACATGGCTCTGGAACGTCAAGTCCGCGCGAAGGTACGGATTTTCCGCGACTTCGGGGCGGCTTTTTGCTTTTTTAATGGCATTGTTGTGTGAGGATAAGGGTTGGGTAAAGGCACGAATGGGCATTGTGTCGATGTGTGAAAGGGTGTTTGGGGAAGGCGCTGAGTCTACGGACAAGTGATTGTGAGGGCTTACGGAAAGTGAAAAAGCTCGTTGAAATAATAATTATTCGTATTTTCTAATGCTTCTCCCTTCATTAGATCGAATTATTATTGCTTTATTATTGCTAATTTAATCAAGCTATGCTAAGCGACTCTTTACTTTCATTTCTATTTTCTTTTTGTATTTTGTTTTTTTTTGTTTTTGTTTTTATCTAATGCACGATTACGATAAGCACTAATTTTTCTTGATGAATTTTTACTTTATTTCAATGTTTACTGTAGCAAGTGTACAAATAACTCGAAGAAAACTGCTGTTGATATAATTTTCGTACTTTCTACTAATGTATTAATGTCTATATATCTTATTTTCGATAATTATTATTATTTTTATTGATTAATAGCTTATTAAAGTGGACAAATAGTATTTAATAACGATCCTAATAAATTATCAGACTGTTAATCTAAGACTTGCAATAATACTCGTTAGCATTCAAATATTAATTAAATATAATCAAAGTTGATGTCAGATTTTTAAGATTTTTAAGTGTTTACGAAATATAATCTGCTTCTTAGCTCCAATATATTTTCTTCGATCGCTAAGATAGTCTTTTTTTTTTTTTTTTTTTTTACAAATATATTACATGTTTTTATCCTCGTTACACCTAAAGTTTGAAAGTTTTCATCTCATTGAAACTTCATTGTAAGTAATGAAAGCCTTACGTTATGATGAAATAAGATGGTGAAATTATTGCTCTCGCTTAAATTTTCTACCTAAAGCACATCGTTATAATTCAATAATTTTAAGGTAAACATAACGAATGTTATCTACAAAACGATTGACCTTCCTAACCTTTCTAACCTTCCTACAATGGGTGACTACGATTATTTACAGATCGTCGCCAAGCGTGACCCTGAACAGGAGCGCGAGGCTCAAGAGTGGATCGAAACCATCATTGGTAAGAAGTTCCCCAAAAACGCTGTTTTCGATGACGTTTTAAAAGACGGTACCATTCTCTGCGAGCTCATGAATAAGATCAAACCAGGCTCTATCCCCAAGATCAATACATCCGGTGGAGAATTCAAAATGATGGAGAACATCAACAAGTGAGTACAATGATGGTGAAACTTTTTCTCTTCCTATGAACACAGCGCGACGAGCCACGCATATTATCCTTATTTCTAAGCTTTATGATTTTCATTCAAGGACAATTAAATTAAAGATCATGAACGATATTTAACGTGTGAACAATATATCGTATAAAACAGTACGTTTCGTTAAACAAAAATTCAGATTGAAAATTCAAATTAAAAAATGTCATACTTCAAAAAAAAAAAAAAAAAAAAAAAAAAAAAAAAATTTTATATATTCACTTAATTCGAGAGGGATTATTCAAAGTGCAGTGGTATTACTGTTTCATTAACTGAAATTGTAAGTGCAAAAATAGTACGGTACGACTAATAAGATAATTCATGTACAATATTATGCAACGATCGTGTAAATATGAATCAAGAGTAAAGACACGCTCGGGACTTGAAATGAATGACTTATTAAATATTTTGTAAAATTCGTCCAATTTGGCACAGTGATTATTTACTTGGGATGCTCATTTTCATAAAAGAGAGTCGTGAAACCTTCGCTCAAGTAAAAATAATCCAAGTGCCAGATTTTAGCGAGGTTTAGCTAAAAAAGAAAAGAGTAAGATATCCACTCGGCGTTAAGTATATATACTTTAGAAATATTATTCGACGGGAATTGCTGTCGGAGTGGAGGGCGATGTTTAATTATGCTAACGAAGCAAAAACATATCGTTCCGCTCTGGGCATTCGAGCGCACTTATGTTACAGCTTCTCCATATTGACGATGGCAAGGCTGCGAATGCCTATATAAATATAGCCTCAGTCAAATTCGATATATCTTGTGAAATAGATTCCAGAAAGCTCTGAAAGACTACGGTGTTCAAGACGTCGACGTCTTCCAGACCGTCGACTTGTGGGAGAAGAAGGACCTTGCACGAGTCATCATGACCCTCTTCGCCCTCGGTCGCGAGGTACGTTTCGCAATCCAGGCTAAAGCCGTACTCTCGAGCTTTTCTTATGACACTGCTCCACATTATTTCCCCCGGCTCCTCGCCACTTATTCGTTTATATTTTTATTGGACTTGCGTCGATTACGTCTACTTTATTTTCTTTCTTTTTTCGGATTTTTTATTTTAGCACTTTGTCATTATTATTAATTTCATCTTAATTCGTTTAATTGTTTTTCAAATTAATTTTTAACGAGCCTTTTTTTTTTTTTTTTTTTTTTTTTTTTTTTTTAAATTCAATGTAAACATTGGCTGTTCGCACTCCTTTATTTCACATTCTATATTTAACTATTCGCGTGATATTATTGTTGTTGTTCTATCTGAGGATAAAAAAGAGATGTTTATTGTATTTATACTCGCGATAATTCATCTTCTGCCGCGATGATAGAAAATATTTTAAATATTTTCATAATAAAACTTTTTTCACGGTACCTGAATTAATCGATAATCTCAATTCAAAATTCATTAATTAATAATTAATTATATCAGCTAAATTGTCGAAAACATTATTAACATTCATTTAATTTTTTCCTTTTTAATTATTTTATGGAGGACACTTTTTGGCATAGTATGGAAAATAAGGTATAAATGCATTGTTGGATGGAAGAAAACATAATTGGGCAGTAAAAACTGCTTTCTCCTAATAATTGTCGCACTGAATGCAACGGTGAATAATGATTAGATTAAATAATTTCTCCATCCAGTTGTTGCATTGAATTGAAAACAAAATTTACTTATTATTTGACGTTTTATTTTTTCTTTTTTTTTATTAAATTTATAAAAAAAAAAAGATCCATAAAGAGTTATATACAGTTAACAGTGAGTACATATACTTAAATTATAACTTCGTGAAAAAATCTTTCCCCGAACCATTAAACAGGAAAATTCTGCCGGCCGTAAGTATATATGACGCCAGAACAAACTGTAATAAAAAAAAACGTCAATGACCCTCATATACCCTAGTGCGTCTAATAATATTCACTTGTGCTCCACAGACCTACAGACACCCAGAGTTCAAGGGACCGAACCTAGGACCTAAACCTTCCGACGAATGCAAGCGTGACTTCACGGAGGAGCAGCTGAAGGCCGGACAGACTGTAATCGGACTGCAGGCAGGTTCTAATAAGGGTGCCACACAGGCTGGTCAGAACATCGGCGCCTCCCGCAAAATCCTCCTCGGCAAGTAAACTCGCCATGACAAATTCGCCCCTTTCGCCCCCACTCCTCTCCAATCACTCTTTTGTGTTGCCGTCACCTACCACTCCCATCCCACCCACGTCCCTCTGCCCCTTACCGCTGCCCGCCCCTCGTCCTTTATCCGCCGAACTCCCAATCACCCGACTTCATCATCGTTGATTATTCGGAGGAAAGCAAGAAAAATCACAGAGCCGCTGCTATGTATTGGTACATTTAAAATGCCGCACGTGCGCATGTGCGACGATGCGCTGTTTCGACGTCTATAATTGATAAAATTTTTACCATTTATGTATATACACAATGTAATTTAACGTTATTTTATCATATATTTATTTAACATTTTGTAATCGTATAATATAAATTTTATTTATTCTTCACACACGTATTTCTCGTCCTTAATTTCGAATTGTTCCTCAACTCAATCCGATTGTTTCATTACCCTTCCTCAAGCGTAAAGCAGCGCTTATCCTAATTAAATCGATATTTCAATCTAGAGAGATTTTTCGGTTATTTTCTTAATGAGCCGAATTTTCTTCGCATGAACTATGGATACAAAAATACGTCTTCTATTTTAAGAAAGAGCAAGACTGAAAAATCATTCTACATCAATGTATTTTGGGAAGAATGAGTCAGGCATTGGTTAAGACATGAATATTTTACAAACATAAAATGAAAATAGTACATTGTAAATTTTACGATATATTTTAATGACACCTAATTATATCAAATTATTTACAATATGATAAAATTTGATTAATGCAACCAAAGTTTATAAAAAATTAGTCATTTTAAAAATATAATACAATGATTTAAAAACAATTTATTACGTTAATTTATATATTATCAATTATTTTAAATTATAAATGATCATATCATTCATATGAAGCTTTGTGAAATAATTTTATAAAAATTCACTTACATGCAAGCATAAATCGATCTTTCATTTTTAAATATAACTAAATGGACTCTGACTGCAAATATGCAATTATACTCGTACCTTCTTTATTTACAGAAATAAAGATTATCGCTTATCAAGACTCCAGAATATTATATTAAATTTTTCAGTTTAATTATCATAAATCAGTTTTTACAATTAGTTTCATTACGTAAGATAATTGTCTTTGCATAGGATAAATATAATGATATATATATTTTTCTTTTTGCTGAGTCCGCGACCTATTTCCATGCATAACTTAAGAGTGTTCTTCGATATATGCGTATATATATATATATATATATATATATATATATATATATATATATATATATATATATATATATATATAACAACTTATAAGTTATGCATCGAAATAGGTCGCGGACTCAAAAGTTTTTGGCCCTACGTTTCTCCATGATCTATATTAAAAGCAGCTCGTGCAACAAAGAGAAAAATTAAAAAGGGAATATCTATGTATAAACATAAAAAAAAGACTAATTTTGAAATGAAAATTCAAAATAATATAATGGAATATATCTAATAAATGAACTACTTGTTTTTATCGTGTATATAATAATTCATGATGAAAAACAAATTTTTCAGAAAAAAAATTATTCAGTTTCAAAATACGAGTATTCTATAATTATCCAATTGGTAATAACACTGAATAAATATTATTATTAAAAATACTACATTTATAATTATATAATATTATTGACATTTATATTATTATAACCTTATGACTAATATTATCAGTATAATATATATTTTTCCAATGTATCCATAATTAACATTTAATAAATACATAATAAATACATATGAAATTTTATAATTAAGCATTCTTGAAAGCAATGATGTTTTTCATTTTCATGGTAATAAAATTCTAAATGAGAATAAAATTATATTTAACATTGTTGTATGGGAAGTTTGAAATGTCATCTTCACTTATTATTAATGTTGTAAAAATTATTTGACTATTACAATATTAATATAACGTTAATAGATAATATAAATAATTAAACATGATGAATCATTGATCTTCCATCGATATAATTACATCTTCAAACGTATAATTTAAAAAAAAATTATATATATATATATATATATATATATATATATGAAGATATATATATATAAAGAAAGAACTTAATACCTAATTAAATAAATGATAAAAAATTTTAAATGATTATATATAACTTGAAGTTGCTTAAATATATCTTATATTATAACATTAAAATATTTACTATTTTATATTTTTCAGGAATAGTACATACGATAAATAATGAGAGAATGGTACATTAATAAAAATGTATATATGAATAATCTTGAAAATATTAAATTCTAAATACAAATTACACGCTTAAAATATCTATAAATTAAAATTATATTCCATTATGTGTCATTGTTATCAATTCTAAACAAAAATCTCGTTAAGAAATAAATAAACATGGCGTTTAATTATTTACTCAACATAAAATGGTCGTTAAATACTTTTAAAAACAGTCTAAGAATTAATTTGTTCTCTAAGAATTGTTAAAATATATATTGTTATTATTTTATTGGCAATAGCTATGCCAAGCAGTGTGATTTTATCTCTCATGTTTTGTAATTTTAAACTGTGGGCGATCTGCGTGGAACTTTTAAATTCTACTTAATCAGCATTAAATAATAAACAAATGGATGGTGAGGAATTAGTGAAAGATTAGTTTTCGAATGAATAGTAAAGCGTTTGTATTTATCGGACGTATTAAAGAGAATTGAGAGTCTTGAAGCCAATTCGAGTAGAACGAGTCATGGTCTGGTCGGACGCTTGTCAACTAAATCGAAGAGCAACTTATTTCACGGCAACGGCCAACAGAATGTCTTTTTCAGAAGATGTTTATTAGAAAAAGAGCCAAGAGCCTCTTCTTTGAATCGAGTGCGTGAACCTGCTAGACCAGTGACAAAATAAATTCTTCAAGGGAGGACAATTATTTCTTTATTGGTGTGAGCGAACGCTTGGCAATATTCCAAACTATGTTAGACTTATTTTTAAATATATCGTCTTGTGTACCATAGATTTTTAGAATAAAGTAAATCGATATAAAGTTTAGCTAAATTTTTAATAGATGGAGTTTCCATGCTCTTGCGTTATAATAACAATGAAATTTGGAAACAAATTATTTCTATCTACAATTATTTTATTTATATTTTCAATAATAGCTGTTTTTTATTTATACACACGATGTATAAAGTAAAAAATTATTTATCATTTATTAATGACAAATATGCAGATTTTACTTTCACTGCTTATATATATATATATATATATGTATATATATAATTTTATTAAAATCATAGATCAAAGCTATATGAATAAAAATAATTATCACTTTGTGTTGTGTATTATTATTTAAAATTATATTTTTTATTATAATTAAATACAAATCAATAAGTTAACATTATTATACAATCATTTAAATAGTTTGATAAAAAAAATCTTATTAATATTCTAATTGGTTTACATTTTCATTTGAAAATCATAAAATGCAAAACATTGATTAATAATCAATTTTCTAATTATTATTCTGTTAATTCTTTTAACAATTTACGATATGATTTTATTATTTCTTAATATGAAAAGGGATAGAGATCGTATAAAATTTAATTTATTTTTATGTAAGTATTAAAAATGTAGATGTTTTATAAGTTCACTTGGTACATTATTGAAATTTTTCATCCAAATATATTTTTACAATAATATGGTAATTTTCAGATATACACAAATACATCTATTATACTTTCATTGAAATAGATTTATAATTTATTGATTAATATTAATTTGAATGGGAAATATTATTTGTTTTTTGTTTCAATTTTGCTGTTTACTTGTTTATTTACCGATATTTTAACAAGAATCTATATTCAGGCAATTTAATATCTAATTTCATAGAATAACATATATATTTAAAAATTTTGGAATATATAATTGGGTATTCAATTTATATTTCGAATTTATTATTTATTTATTATTTATTGTTAAATTACAATTTTTATTTTATTTTAATGAAGTTAGTGATATCCTAAGAACCTCAAATAATTAGTTTAGCACTATTTTAATATTAGCATTTAAATTATATTTTATAAATTTTCAAATATAAATTTTTTCGTCAATTATGATAAATAATTTCACCTTATGTTTAAATATTATAATTGTTTTGTTTATATATCTTTTATCTAATCTACTAAATGTTCGGGCATGAATAATGAATGCCAATATGATTGTCCGCTAAATAAAGTTTCATGAGGTATTTTCCTTTAATAAATCCTTTGAAATTATTGATAAATGTCATGCATACTGATGATGTGTATATTTACGAGTTTGTTGACAGTCAGTGAATTATTTATTATTACGTTTTTAATGATCCATTAAAGTATTTAGTATTTATATAAATAATAGTTTCAAGATATTAAAAAAAATTAATGAAAATTATAATCCTATTAGATTTCAATTTTATGTATGTACATATATATATATATATATATATATAATGAAATTGAAATATTTATATTTTATCACAGAAATATTATAATACTTTAATGTTTTGTCATTATTTGGAAAATCTTAGCCAATGCCGTTAATGTAGAAAATTGAAGAACTTTATCGATCATTTATATTCGCAAGCACTTACATAAGTTGTAATAAAGTCGTAAACTTTTATTGATAAAAACGAATTCTACAATATCCTTAATATTGATTTTGTTACCTGCTGATAGCATAGTAGATAATTATAATAACAATCAGTTATGAAATTTAAATTTAATTCGAGGTATATTATTTCATGAAGAGTATAAAAATTATTGTATTATAAGACTCCTATCATGATTTAATTATCATGCAATGTAATAATCAAATTTTTAATTGTTCGATCTATAGTAGCTAAGGTAACATATTGGTATTAGGAATTTCATTAATTTTATTTGAATAATTTTAGTGGATGTAATTAAATGATGTCATAAAAGATGGCCAAGATCGAACAGTTTGTAACATCAATGATATTAAAATAAAGAAACTCAGATAAACATGGCGAAATGTATATTATCTAATTGTTTAAATTAGCTTTATTATTATTTTCATATAGTTGCCGAATGATTTACCTTTGGTTGTTGCGCCTTTGCCCTAGTGAAATATCATATTACTCTTTTATAGCTTTAAATATTTGGTCATAGTTACCTACGCATTATTTATGCTCTCCTGGTGATGCGACTCGTTAGTTATATCGGTCACTGCGGAAAAAGCACTTGGAGTTGTGACCATCACCATAATAACAAGTTAACGATGGCGATTTAGAAAACAAGAAAAAGGAGAAGACGGAACGTATTGTCACGATTCGCATTGTGTAAGCCATT